CGTTGTGCTGTCAGATTTTCATTTCGATGGAAGAAGGCATTGCCAAAACTAATTAAAATTGTATGCCGAGATATTTTTGGGCGGCCCTGTAAATATGGAAACGCGGAAAAAACGCTTGCCTACTTTTTGGCGCAGTTTGCATATTGCAATTAAAGATGGCAACAAGCATTTCCACTTTTGCTCTCGAGCACGTTTCGGGCCTCAAAAGCTCGTTACGCACTGCGTGCAGCCGCTATTTGTTCATATGTTGCAATTATGTCAACATGTGCACACAACACACACACGCAACACATTCACACACACACTCATACATTCGGCAGCATTATTAATCAACTGACCAGCGCATATGAAGCCAGCGAAACTAGCGGTGTTTATGTCGCCATCATCATTAAAAGTCCTGCCAGCCGTTTGACTCGTATTTAATTGCACAAACAGACACACACACACACACACACACGCATACACAGGCATGCCCGCTGCCTTCCGATACTTACTCCCGGAACCTAGCTATTGCACCAGCAGCTGCCGCTTGAGTTGCCGGCACTTCAATAAATTATTTCGTATTTTTATATGCACAAATATTTGCCAGAATTTGAACATATTTTTGTTTGTGTGTTTATTTGCTTGATTGCCTGTTTTTTATATAACTGCAAAGCATTTTTAATTTTGACTCAAAAAAATAAAGGGAAACCATTCAATAGCATAAGTTTTATTCCATAGAAATATGGAATTACAAAATTCGTAAGTCTATTCTATATTTTTAAAGTACAGATCGTAGAATATATGATTTCTTTGTAAGTTCTAAAACAGTATGAAATTTTACCTTTTGGATACCTTCGTCCAAAATATTTTCCAAGAATTTTAAGATCTTATCAAACCTATCATCGTTAAGGAAATATATCTAAATGTTATTTTAATTCAAACGCTTAAACTCGCCTGTTTTAAAGCCAGCTACAGGGCATCGACATGTCAAGCATTTAATTCCAGAGCACTTTATTGTTTTATTAATGAATTGGTATCGGATTATAAAGCATTTCATTTGTGCAAAGAGCGCGTGCTTTACAATTTTGCGACATTGGCGAATTGTTAACACTTGAAATTGCTGAGTATTCGAAGTTATGGCATGTCCAAATTTTTGTCAACTAGTGTAATTGTTTAGCTTATAATCTCCCGCAAGAGGATTGCATGTGTTTTGCAGACCTTAGACCTGAACTGAACAGCTTACTCGGTTGGTGTCACGTGATGTTCTTATCTATACACATACATATGCTTTTATCAAAATTCATTCTAATGTTTAACAATTATAAACATTTTCGTGAATTTTGATTAACTTTGTGCACTTTATGTTTATTTACAAAATAACTTTTCAACTGGACTGTGAAATTCAGCACGTGTTTTAGTTTGTATTTGTTTTTGGGAATTTGAACAAACGTGTGGTCATTCTTTTAGAGGCATAACAATGAAGCCGCTTACAATAACAGACAGTCACTCGGACAGCTGCTGGCAGTTAGGTAAACAAATCAACAACAATAACGACAGAAACAATTTGGATCGCTGCAAACATCAAAACATTTACAAACACCGTGGCAAACCACAAAAATTGTTGTGGCTGTTGACTCTTTGGCTCTGCGGCATTTTTTTTTCTTTTTGGCAATAACGAAATCGTTGTTTAATAAACACGCAAGTTTCCTGCTAGAGTTAGAGCTGGAGTTGTATCTAAATCTGAGTGCTGAGGCAAACAGTGTCAAAGACTTGGACAGCGTACGATGTCGCCGCTGTCACTGACACTCGGAACGTGCGAATTTCGCCGCAGATTTTGTTGGTTTCGTTGCCGGTTGCCGCTGTTGTCTCTCTACAGCTGTTGTCGGGCTTTTTGCGCATTTTATTTGGAAACATACTGACCACAGCTTGTGGGCAAAATGGGAAGAATAGAATAGAATGGCAAATGTGGGTAAAATATGAGACTAGGTTGTCGCGGTGCACCCTTGATGGATTGCACTTGTGCAATTGTGAAATGTATAATTTCATATTTAGAGACTGAGGTCATAATTAGCATACTTTATTATTTTAGTCTGTTCACATTTGAATGTCTAAAGGAGTGCCTTAATGGCAATGCAGCTAAAAACTGTTAAAAATTCTATATAATTTTAAGTGGATATAAAGGAGAAATATTTTTTGCAATAGATAACCGCAAATGCTCTACATTTTAATGGATTCAATTTTCTCGTAAACTTATTAAAATAAGATGAAAATTAGTTGATGTTCTTTCTTGTTTTATCTGTCCAGACCGATGGCAATATTTTGGCAAATCTCTGATAAAGTTGAGGCAAATACTAATTATTTGAGCTACTGCAAAATTGGGGAATTGAATCGATTTGCCTCCGACCGGCATCAGACAGGCGTGCCAGAGAAAATCGTACCACACAAATTTCCGGATAGAATCATTCATTTAAGTCGGCGTGCAGTGCGCTCATTGGCTGTGCCCACTTGGTTGGGTCAGCGACTGCAACTGGGCAGCACCCACTGGAAGGCTACACGCAATCCAGTGCCTCGATTGCGTCACTCGAACACGTGAAATGCGCTCTAAGCAGTTTAAAATTAAACTTAATTATTAAACGATTCAGAACGGCAGCGAAACTAATTTGACTTACATGAATGAATGAAATTTCTCACTGATAAGTCGCACAAATACAAATACAAATACAAATACAAATACAAATACAAATACGAATACAAATACACAAAGGCAAGCTCAGAGGCAGAACCACAGCTGCGGGCAGCGGGCAGCGGGCAAGTCGTACATTGAATATCAATTTGTGTGGTCGCGCGAGTCGGCGGCGGGTCGAGGAAACCGCAAGCTCAGCAAGCTAACGATTCGATCCGGCGGCGGCACAAACTGCCGACTTTGCATATACAATATATAGCCAAGACAGCCAGACAATCTGAGCCAGTCACATAAATGCGCATAAACCGTGTGAAGCCGCCAATTAGTGGGCACATCAATTATATAAAGATGTATGCAATGCGTTCAAATTGCCAAAACGAAACTTCTAATTATTATATTACAACTGATTTTATGCAATTGCAAGTATTTATTGCAATTATTACATTTTTATTGGTTGGTTTCATGTGCGATTTTTCTATTCAAAATCTGCATAAGTTCAGCTGTTGCTAATAAGATGATGCCTTGTCAAGTTTAGAATTAAAAATATAATATAGTTTTTATAAAAAAAAAAAAATTATCTTTATTGCCTGAAGAGCATGTTGCTCTCGACCTTTCTCTACCTTTTTGCTTAATTAACAATTGAGGCATTTGTCCCAAGTCCTGCAGTCGGTTTTGGTTTTGGTTTCGGGTTCGATTTTGATATTTGTCATTCAGATCACGTGCGAATGTTCTGGGATGGGTGGCCTGCTAATGGTCTATTAATGTGGGCGCCAAATGCGGTTGCCAGGTGACTTGCGGCCCATGCTGCGTATGAGTAATATGCCCAAACGACCTTCAACAAGTTGCCAAGAGAAAATCGACGGCGCGTTGTTGTCGGTTGCCGCACAGCTCAAGCTTTGGCTGCTGCACAGGAAGCGCGTTAATTAGCAAATAAATAAAAAGCGTGCCGGCAAACAAGACACGCACATTGCGCATATGTGACTGTACGTGTACGTTTCTGTGTGTCTGTCTGTATGTGTGTGTGTGTGCGCGCCCGCGTCTGTGTGTCTGTGCTGTGCTGTGCTTCGGTCTGTTGATACAGAGACGTATCTGTGCCTCAGCATTTGAGCATCGCTGCTGTTGCTGTGCCACAAGCTGCTGATTTCAATGCATGACGATGCCAACGAGAAAATTCTTAATGCTGCCTCTGCATTTCATATTTCCCATTTGTAGTTTTTCTTTCGTATGCGCTGCAAGTTTGTTAAGTTATTGTCCATGCACATCGCCAGGCAACATATGCTGCATAAGTAGTTTTTCTATTAGCTGCAAACTTATTTACAATTTTCAACAGAAGGTAAATTAAATGTAATTTCTATTCGATTTTGTAAATTCACCGAAATTAATTGAATTGCGTACCTTACAAATTACCAAGTTGATGTCAAATGTTGCGCAAATTCTAACACTTTTTTTGCAAGTCACGGAAAGGCACACAAATGTTTAAATATATATATATATATATATATAATATCGAAAGTTGAAAGTTATAGGCGAAAGCTTAAAACTAGTCGGGGAATTGGTGCCTTTGAAGCATACATAATATATTTAACATATGCACATATATACACATATATATATATATACTATTCAGCTCATTTAAAATCTAATTTTTTACTTGTTAAACTTTGCTCAGTTGAAACACAGAAAACTGATGCAACACTTTTTTAAAGCTGACGGAATGCTTAAACATACATTCAATTCAGAACAATTTTTGATATTGCATTTTCATGGAATTCGATGTCTATAGACATTTGTGAAGGACACGGTCGCAGATTCATTATCCTCAAGAAATCATTTGTTCTGCATAATAAAATCAAATATTAAATCAAGCTAACTTCTGGCATGTGGGAAATACACAGTTTCCTTAGAAACACTAGCATTCGTATGAAAACTTACATCTGCCTGCATTTATGTATTTATGTCTTTAGCGTCTCTTTGGATCAGGTCATTTGCAAGTTCATGTGGCCTACTGCCTCACCAGCTGCCAGGCTGCATCATTTTTCGCTTGCCTCAGTTGTAGGCGCAGTCGCGTATGCTGTTGGCTTTCGACTTTTGCCTGGCTCGCACGTTGTGCACGTAATTGAAAATTAACTTGTCTCGCTGGCTGCAAGTTACCTTTCCCCGCCAAATCCCGCTGCTTGTGCTTTGCTGCGAGGCTGTCAAGGATTTCTGTGGGCATATGTGTGCCGCATATTGATGTGCCTCATATGGCTACAGCAGAGAAGAAAGTGTGAAAGGAAGGAAGCGAGAGCAGTTACTTAAGCATATTTTTATTTACAATACTTGATGGCTTAACTAGTTAAAGCTATACAGCAGTTACGATTGTATACACTATATATTCACTATATATTCATGATGCTACCAGAATCGGCAGCGCTGCACGGGATTCATGGGCGAGCCCTGGGCACACTGGAATACCTCTGCAAATTCGGGCATCTGCGCCAGCGCATAGTTTAGGCGCTTGCTGCCCGTGTCATGGAATATGTCCGCCTCCTCGCCGCAAAAGAATTGCGCGAATTGCAGAAAGTACAAGCGTCCATTGTTGCGCCTCTCCGCCGGCTGTTGCATGTAGGTCTGCAGCGCCAGGCGTGTGCCGCTGATGTCCGCGGCACGTTCATTCAGCATGAAGACCTCGCTGTCATTGAGACAGTTCACCGCATCCACGTAGTGGTCGTTCAGCAGCAACTGATCACTGTAATCGCGCATAACACCCTGGGCATCGTAGTCCACGAAGTAGGTGTCAAAGGCGTGCAGCATCTCGTGACCCAGTGTGTTGGCCAAATCGCCGTAGAGCAGAGCTGGCCAAAACTGTGCGTCGTAGAAGGGAAGCTGCACATAGGCATAGGGCATAATGATGATGCTACCCAGACAGTAGAAATACGGCGTGGCATCAATATTATCGGTCAGCCCGGGTCCATGATGATTGAAGCTGTACCACAGCTGACGCATGCTGGCATTCGCACTGCGCTCCAGCTCCGCCAGATGTGCATAGTAGTGCAGCAGGCTCTGCAAATGATTCTCATAGAAGTCACCGCCCACCCGCCAGTGCTGTTCGCAATCCACATAAAACTCAGTGCTCGCGTTGGCCGGCATGTTGCCCAGGTTGAGTCGCAAGCCATGCACCTTAGCCAGCAGCGCCTGGAGCAGCGGGGCCTCCAGGCCAAACTCATTGCGTCGCAGCTGCTGGGCGAACTGTGTTTTCAGCTCCTCAAAGACGCCAAAGATGACCCGCTCGTCCGCGGCACGCTGCCGGCCATAATAACTGTGCTCGTATACAAAATTCATGGGCAGGTAGAGCGTTTTACGCATGTGCTGCACACAAATGGACCTGGAGCTGGAGTGGCTGTTGCTCAGCGGATTGTGGGGTAGCTGCATCAGATGCTGCAGGAAACGCGCCCAGCTGTACAACTGCAGCAGCCGTGCATCGGCCCGGTTGAGGAATGCGATCAGATGCCGCAGCGCCGGCACATCATCCACCAGCAGCTGATGGCTGCCTGGATATGTGGCGCCCAATTGCAGCTGCAATGCATGCGTCCAGTTGAATTGTGGCAGCTCCTGCTGCAGTTGCTCTAGTGTATAGTTGCGAAGCGTCTCCTCCTCGCTGCTGCTGTTGGCCGGTCTCGCCATTTGCTGCAGTGTTGCCTCCAGTTGCCCGAAGCGTTCGCGCAACTGCGTCAGATTGGGCAGCAGGCCGTGCGTGTGTCGCCTTAGAGCTTTGTAGATAATCATGCTGAGATTCAGGCTGAGATTGTAGTTATGCGGCTGCACGACCAGCATATGCTGTGTGGCATTGTGCTGGCTCACCTCGATCTTCACATAGTGCTCGTGATAGCCATAGCGTCCCAGCAGCGCCAACAGCTCTGCCCAATGATTGTTGGCCGTGTGCGGCAGCTGCTCCAAATAGCGACGCAGGCGCGGCTTACCCAATGCCCTGCAGCTCTGATAGTACCGCAACAGCTTCGAATACATGGGCAGCTCGTGCTCCGGCGCTTGTGGCTCATCCAGCAGACGCTCGAACAGCTCCACATAGCGTTGATCGATGCGTGCGCCGCTCAGCGACATGGCCGATACGCCTGCTTCATGCACCGACCGCCAATTGCCGCAGGCGTACTTATAAAAGTCCTGGCACGCATCCAGCTCGGGCAGCATGTATTGCTCCAGCAATTGGATGTGCCTCAAATTGATATCCGTGCTGCAGGTTGGCTCTGTGGATGTATCGGCTGCCCTAAGGCGGCAGCTTTTGTTGAGCTGATTGGTAGGCAGCGCCTTGGCGCTGGCCAGTAGCAAGCAGAGCGCCCAAAGGCGTGGCATTTTCACTTGAGCTAAACTTTGCTTATTTGCTTTAACACTTTTGTCGAAACTTGTCGTTTCTTTAACAGATTTGTTTGGTTTTAGTTTTGTATGCTGTGCACTGCAGTTCGGAGCAGCAATTGTTGTTGTTGTTGTTGTTGATGTATTTGGTTTCTTTTAGGCGCACACATGTCAGAAAGGTGTTACAAAAATATTTCTTTGTATATTTTTGAGTATTTCACAATTTCCGTTTTGATTTGCAGAAGGTTTCGTTGCGCGTTCGCCGCTTGCTAAAAATCAACTAAAAACTCGTTTCACGCGTTTTCAATTTTTATGTATTCGTATTTAATTCATTCGACACATACACATTTATGTATTTTCTGTGTGTGTGTGTGTGTGTACGAGTGCTTGTGTGTGTTAAATTCTTGCAGCGCGCTTTTTACATTTTTTTTTGCTTGACTTGCTTATCAACGTTTAAATACGTCTTTTCTTTTAGTTAGTGTGCGGCGGGCTTATCTATGATACACTGCACGAAATGCAAGTGATTTAAAAATATATTAAACAAATATTTTCCCATTTAAAAACTTGGTTAATTATGTTGAAATATGTAAACCAACTAATTGATAAATTTACTGATACACATTTAAAAATCTGGCATGTATTGCAATAAAGCATTATAATTTATATCATTAACGAGCTAAATATTCTAAAATATCAAAATTGTTAAGGTAACTTAAAAAACTATATGTAAATTGTATTCTCTAATCTTGCTGAACAATCCGACTTAATCGTTTATCATAGTTTCTGCCTCTGTAACTCGCCTTTTACCCTACTTAAGCTAATGCTCAGTCTATACGATCGGAAAAACTATACATATGCAAATTTTCGTTTGGTATGGTTTTTTTTTGAGCAGGAATCACAGCTTTATTTATGTCAGTGCAGCGCGGCTCGGCTTGAATTACAATTCGAAAATTGTTTCAATTCACGATTTAGTTATTAATTGTCATCAGCGTCGCCATCGTTCGGCTGCCGCGCCTGATAAGGCATTGAATTAACGGATGACGCAATTTGGCGTTGCAATTAATGAGTAACCCCAAGCACGAGAGGTTCGCACGGGGGTCAGAGAACCGGCAACCGCGGCGATATGCTGGCCATCGCTTATGCATTTGGTAAACATTAACTCGAGCCGAGGCTTCTTTGTCGTGTGGAGAGGGGGCCCGGCCGGTGGCCACTGCGCATTGAACTCTTGACTCCCCAACTGCCAGCAGCGAGTCGCGAGTGGCGACTGGCGAGTGTCAAGTTGCGAGAGATGAGTTTGATGGCAATCGTTTCCTTTGTGCCGTCGTCGACTTGTGACGTTTGTAGCACTCGCCGGCTTATCAGGCCCATTAGTGATCCCATAGAGCACAATTTGTCGTTGACTGATTGTTTCAGCACCAATTGTGCTTCTTGCGCTAGTATTTGTTAGTTTCCATGTGAAGAAATCAATTTCAAATAACAATTCAAATTTGATATTCATCATCTAAACCCTATCCCAGTAGTCTAGCCAAATGCTGTCTTTGTCGAATGAGTATTTTCATTCCATTCACGTTCTTCAAAAATTGGTAATTAGACTGACCGCATCATTGGGTATGGATATTGTAGTTACCTGGTTACCTGGTAAAATAGATTGGTCGTATCTCCATATGCAGCCTTATGATGAGCTATGCATATTCATGATCAGCAATAATTGGCGAATAAATTGATCACATAAATATTTTCTATAGCTACGAAAGTGCATCGATTTCAGAGAAAATTAAAGCTTGATGAATCGAATTAGTTGTGTGGTCTATCAAAAAACTGTGCTTGAATTTTTATTTAACGATGTTTTTTAATGTATTTCCTGACACTATTTATGGCCTAATCATTAAAGCATCTGCTTGATTTGCTTATAATTGATTGCATTTTAATTAAATCGCAATTTGTGGCATTCACACACATACACACACATCCGTGACTTGGCCAGTCAGCAAAATTGACAGCGCGTGAATTAATAACAATTTTTTAAGCACGCAATATTTTTAACGAACATTAAGTCCTTGTCAAAGACAGTTAGTACCGAAATAGTATGCGAAATATTTGCAACTACTTAATGTATATATATTTTTGATAAGCTGCAAAAACGATATACAAGTACATATGCCTTTGTGTGCACACAGTGTATGACAAAGTGAAAGCTATACAACAATTATTTATATTAAAAATTGTACTTTTTCGTCACATATTTCATGATGTGCTGGTGTAAAGCAACGTGGCAAAGAGTAAAGCGATTTTGAGCGCTGTAAAGCAAAATTTCATTTTAATTTATTAAATTATTAACACGAGGAAAACGTGAAAATTAATCTCCACATAGCGCTATATCTCTCAGCAGTGAGTGTGCATGTGTGTGTGTGTATGTGTGCGCATCCATGAAAGTGCAAGCATGTTTAAAATGCTGTTAACGGTTCAATGGTGGCCAAACCCATGCCCATGTCCATGCTCATCCCATGTCCCTTTTCATGTCCTTGCCGAGTTGCCTGGCTCAATGCATCGGCAGCTGCGGCTGGCAACGCCGCCTTGTCGAAGCCCGATTTTCATAATTCAATTACGCTTGGCAAGTCACGAAAGGAACGGCAGAGTGCGGCTCTACGAAATGCTGATCATTGCCTATCATATCCCAGTTGTGCTTGCTGAAGATCTCGCCAATTTAACTCAGCTATAATGGGCATCATAGCCATTAAGTATAGATATTCAGATGAGTGGCTTTTCATCAAGAAGCTTCCCTGTTTAGATAAGGCTAGCAGCAAAAAGTCGGGGCATTCAGGTTAGCTAAAGCTGCGCATGTGAAAGGGTATACAAAGTTGTGCCTCACGACTCAACGAGCAGCGCATTAAAAGCAAAAGTAACTTGCAATCGGGTTGAGTTCGGGCCGCGCAAACTGTTTGCCTTGTTAAATGCTCACTTACGCATGCACTCGGCATACGGCTCCTTCTTCCCCTAACCAGATTTCCATCCGTTAGTCCTGGTTCCAAAATAAGTTGTAACCTCCATGCACTTATTGCGATGGGCGCAAAGGGGAGCACTAAATGCTTGCGGTTGGCTCTGCATCTTAAAGTCAATGAATAACCGCGCTTATACACCAAGCCCCACCTTCTGTGTTTAGTTTGCTTTTATTTTTTGGCTCTCAAGTTACTCAAGTAATTCAATTTCCGGCGTCTGTGCGCTATAGAAATGATATTAAAGTTATTGAAAGCGAGGCAAGCAAACAAACAAACAGACAGACATTCAGACAAAGAAACGGTACAGCAGAGGGAGAAAAAAAAATAATGTAAAAAACGTGAAAAACCTTTTACCCAATGCTTTTTGTTTGGCAAATTTGTTGTCTAGACTAGATTCACTGGATGCAACTCTCCATGCGTGGAAATATGCCACGTGGCTATTAGCAAATTGAAATGGTCGAATTTAAGGCCCAAACTCAGTCGCAGATATCAAATGCGTTGCCACCAACTCACAAATGTCATCATCAGCATTCAGCAGCAATTCTAAACTTAGCACCTGCTGAATCTCCTCTCGTTTACAGCTTTGGTGCCGATTTGCATAAGGCGCCAAATGGCGATGCCAACAAAGTTTCAGCTCTCGCGGCGACATTGCCAGCTGTCCCAAATCCAATGAAATCAAAGCTCAACCCAAGTGCTTCACCCGGCGACAAGTTAAAATTTTCGTATGTGATTTTTATTGTCGTTCACAGCTCTCTGGGGTCTAGTTAGTACTCGCATTTTGTGGTGATTCCTGTCAGCTCCTCGCAAGCTCTTTGGAGCTCTTTGGCACTGGCATAAAGCAGTTCGTTGCATACTTTTGGGCACATGTGGTATACCAAATATTTTCTATAACATTTTCATACTTAAATACGCAAAGTCGTTTGCTTAGTCAACCTCCTGAGACTTCTTTACCCGAATTTACGATATATGCATGCTGAAGACTACTTTTAATTATTACAAATATTCTATCCACGCATAGAACTTAACTTTGATCATATTTTGATGTGTGGCAACAATTATAATTCTTGTTAAGGATCGAATGCCTGCTTTTGTAACTGTCGCAATGCTCATAAACTGGCAACATGTTTGTTCATCCGTAAATTACTGTACCTTTTATTATCATCATTTAAACGTAGCCCAAAGTGCCGTGCTCATGTGGCAAGTCAACGAGCGCACTCTCTTAACTTGATTAACGTATTGCCGATGGACGCTTCTAGATGATATTCCACTTACCTGTTACCTTTTTCACAGCCATCCACAGGTCAGCGAATTAGAGGCTTCCTGGAAGGTACGCGCCGCTAATGAAATCTAGTGAAAACCCAGAACCGCAGCTGTGCCTCGATTAGAATACCTGATGCAGACCAGATTAGCGGGTGTAATAAAATTTGCATGCCGCTTACCTGTGGCCGGTTAAAAGGCGCCGCGCTAGCGTCACCGCTCACAGTTACAAACTGCAACGTCTAACGTGAACAACGCAAACAAAAAAAAAACTAAAATTAAACAAAAAATATTTCAATATGGTGCTAAGCAATTCCACACCCAACAGTAATCACAAGCAGAACGAGCTCGTCATGGACACGGCGACCATGAACAGCGCCGATCTGAGCGAGCTGCTTCAACTGAATGCGGAGATTGAGGAGCGACGGTCACGCCACGCCTACTGCGATGTCAGCGATGGGCGTGGACTGCTGCGTGCCACAATGACGCGCGAGGAGCTCTTTGAGGTCTCCTCACTGGACGATGATCGCTTCCTAACCGCCTTGGAGCACCAAAACTCATACGTGACACCGTCCCGCATACAAGTCACCGACCTGGACTTGTCCAGCATTGAGAACCTCATGAAGTACTTTGATGAAGAGGTGCCTGTTACGCCTAGCAAAGATGTCATCATAAGGACTGCCCCCTGCTCGGGCAAAGTAGCCAGCGCCATTGCCAAACTGGCCAGCCAACCCGTGCCGCTGCCCAAGCAAAGAGTGGACAGTTGCAAGCAGAAGATCAACGAGTTGAAACAAAAATACGAACAGCCGCAACTGGCAACACCACAGGCGGTACGTGGCGCCAACAACAAGACCAGCGGCAAGCTGCCCATGAAGGTCAAGGAGATAGCCCAATTATTCAACTCGAAGTTCAATCAGGTAATGCGGCGCGCTGACCCGCCGCAATACGCCGCGCTGCACAATGAGCTATCACTCTCACCGGAGCCCAAGCCACAGCCCAGATCGCAGCAGCATCAGCATCTGCAGCAGCAGCTACAGCAGCATCTGCAGCAACAGCAGGAGCATTTGCAGCAGCAGCAGCAGGAGTCTGTTGTTCAAGGTCCCTGCCTGGTGGCCGAGGATGTGTTCCGAGAGCTGAGCGTCAGGGATAAGGTGTTGCTCTTCAATAAGTTTGTTAGCGACATTGCCGCCAAGCATCCCAAATTCAATGAGCATGCGGCCGATCTTAAAGCGCAGGTCAAAAAGCAAATGGCACGCGGCGAGGTGGTGGCCGAGCAGCAGGCCAGCGTTAAGCATTTGGCCCAGGAACTGGAGGCCAAGTGCGTGCTGGAGTCCACGCCACCACGACCGGCAACAATGCCGGCCAAGCCGCCAACACCTTCGCTGCATGTGAGCACGCTGACTGTGGTGATCAAGCCCAGTCCGGAGCGACATGTGATTGCCATGCCAGGTGGCCGTCTATTGCACGAGCGCGAGCAGTGCGCCTCGCAGAAGCGCAATTTGTCAGCCATACGCAGCGTGCTGCCGACGGAGGCGTATGCGCCGCCCAAGAAGATACGACGCACACGTCAGGAGCGCGCCGGAAATGATAGTCTTCCGTTTTTTCAAAACGAACCGCTCGAGAGTCTTTTCTACAGCTGGCTAACTGCCGAGAATGGCGTGCTCTTCGACATAACAAGCGTATCCAACAGCGATCAGACGATTGAGATTGCCAGCAGCGACGAGCAGCCGGCCCAGATCACCGCCGGTTCCATTGGCGACATGAGCCAGAAGTCTGCCGTGGAACGTTTGCTCGAGGAGGCTATTGCCAAGCTGGAGCTAGAGAGCAAAACTAAGGAATCGAGTCATGTGGACGAAAAGGACGTGGACACGGCAACAAACCCAACGGCCGTCACGCCCACACCGCGCAAAATAAAACGTCAAGCGCCGCCTGTACCTGCGCCGCGTCCAAGTCTGGGCCAAATGCAATCCACTTGCATAACATCGAGCAGCTCATCGAGTTGCAAGCAATCAGATGCTGAGGAAAGTGAGTCTGGATTGTCTACACTGCCAAAGGTGAGTGCACTGAAATTTTTGGCGGTTTTCTAACTGAAAGCCGATATCGAGTCATTGAAAAAATATTGTTATTGATATCTTGAACAAAATATAGCGCAGTATTTTAAAACCGAATTAGATTTCCATCCCAACAAAAAGTCTGTCTATTTTAAACATTTCATGATTCGTTTTATTCTTGCCTATCAATTTCTCTAAAATCTAAATCGTAAACTCTTTCGTGCAATCACGAATCTAAACTGGATTTATTTTAAATTTAATTTGAATTTATTTCAATTGTCTGCACAGATAACCAGCGATGAATCCCAGCCAGAAATGCCAGCAACACCAGAAGAAGCTCCAGACTTTGACTTTGCGAAGCCCGTGCGACCGCCGCGTAAGAAGAAAATGCGCCGCACGCTCACCTGGAAGAAGGAGAACTCCATTGTAGAAGCCACTGCCAATGCTGTGACCAGTACCGACTCTGACTCCGACTACAAGCCAGCGGTACTGCAAGCCAAGAAGAAGCCATCAAGTGTAGCACCAGCACCAGCACCAGCACCAGTTCAAGCTGCTGCACCGCCGCCAATGCCGGAGCAGAGCTACATTGAGCTGGACAAGTCGCTGATGCGTCAGGTGAACTCGCCCAGAAAGATCAAGTCCGCGTATACCTTGACGGTGATGTCCTCGCCATCGCCCAATGCGGACAGCGATCAGTCGCCCTCGCAGACACCGCGCCAATCGTTGGATCCGCAGCTCCGCGACAGTTTTATAGATCAGGGCTTTGAGACGTGCTCCAATGATGCCATGGATAACAGTCCGTTGCGGCGTTCCTCACTTGGCATGACTCAAACAAAGCCCTCGGGCTTTTCCACGCCGGTAAAGGCACACAATTATTCGAGTGCCGCGCATCAGCAGCTCTTCAGTCCCATTGGTGCAACTGGGCAGCAGCTGGACAAGTCGCGTCGCAGCTCCTTGGCTATGCAAGTGATACGAGAGGATCATCCATTGGACTTGGCTAGCTCGTCCGATGCGCCAACAACGCCGACCTGCAGTGAGCGCGAGTTCTTTGCCAATGCACCCACTGTCGAAATGAGCTCATCGCAGCTGGAAGAGCTGCCGCCAAGCAAGCCGCAGTCCAAGTTTTGGATCAGCGCCGGAGATTTTACGGTCGCATTGGATATTGTGCACAATACACCGGAGCGACTGCGTCTGCTCTACGAGATCTTTACTCAAAAAACCTGGGAAACACGTGAGCTGACTTTCGGCATTGATGGACACAAGTTTTGCAGGTCAACTGCTGGCCAGCAAGAGGCCAAGACCAAGGAGCTGCCAGAGCGACCGCCTAGCGTAAAGGGCTTCTCGCATTATTGGTTCGCCAGCGGCGATCTGGCCGTGCCCTTTAGCGGCAAGCACATGCCCAGCGAGAAGATTGAACGTCTGTTTCATTTCCTCGACACGGAGCTGATCACTAGTCCTGATTGCGAGCTGCGCTTTGGCGTCGATCAATTTGAGTTCAGCTGCGTGCCCGAGTTCTGGCACACAATGCCCAAGTTCTCCATTGAGAGCAGCTACAGCATGCTGGTGGGCCTGCAGACGGGCAACAGCAATGGACTGGAGGGACGCAGCAAGTACGCTTGGCCCAGTAACCACTACAACAACTCTAACAATGCCATCAAGACCAGCGATCTGGACCAGACCGAATTTGAATCGGACAGCTTCAGCAATAACAGCGGTCGACTCTCGTTCTCGCCGGACCTGTTTAGCCAGGACTATGAGGCTGTGCCGCTGGATGAGCTCTTCGACAAAACATTGCCCGTCGTCCGTGCGAAGCCCATGAGCATGCCACAAATGCTGCGCATCCTGCAGCAGCAGCAAACCAAGCTTAAAAGCGTCGAGCAGCGCATACGCAACTACGAGCTGCCCTCAAAACTAACCGAGGCCACGCTGAAGCATTGCCGCAGCAAGCCCGAATATGCCCACAAGCTGCGCACTATTGATAATATCGCCCGCAGCAGCGGATTCCGCGCCTGCTCCATGGAAGAGCTGGAGAGTTTCATGCAGTTTCTTGTCGAGTACGCGGACACCTGTCTTGGCAGTTGCAGTGAGCACATCGAGAAGATCATCGACACGCTGCTGGACCAACGCGCCGTAGCGGTTTAATCCTAACAACTTTCAATCAACAATAATTATTTTTAATTAGTAGCATATAAGCACAAACATGTAATGTTACAAATATTTTATTCCTTATCAACTTTTTTAAAAGTTAACACATGCCAGAGTACATCGTTAATTATGAGCTTCATTTATTGACAGCTGCATGCTTGATTAAAAATGGCCACGCAAATTACTTTCAAAATAGGAAGCACCTGTAAAATATATATACATATATCAAATAATTAAGCTAATAATTGGCACTGGCAATTTTCCTAGAATTAAAACTAATATCAAGCATTTAATTTTTTTATCTTTCAAAACGTTTGAAATAAAAGCTAAGTCAAAATAATTTATAATTATGACAAATTAGGAAATGGAAATTCTTATTATTAGGAATTAAGAACTAAGCCAAAAACTATATGAAATGATAATGGAATTTTTAGTATGTTATTTGTGTGTGCGAATTGTCAAATCTCTAAATCGAGGCATAGTTCTGAGAATCGCTTTTTGGTTTATACTTTGCCCATTTTAATATTGTTACGGATTGCTAAATCAATGCTTAATGATAACCTTCGGACTTACTGAATTTTTTAAAAATTATTTTCGCATTACTTTTTAAATCAAAGCATATTGAATCTGTAGGTGGTTTTGTTGACCAGCCAAAGTGTTGCCATTAAAAGTGCTACAACCTGCAGTTGAATTGGCCAATTCAGCTTTAGTTGTCAAGTAGAATGCTGAATGCATCATCAGCGTCTTTAGCACATTTGGGGCTCTTTTGTGCTTGCATTGGGCATACGCCACGTAGTACAAGTGGCATCACGTTGCTCTTGCCGCCGCTTGTCAAAATATTTGCTTGGGGTTTTTGCGGGCAACAAACAAGTCTTGCGAAGAGCTTAGCTATGCAGCAACAATGTCCTCCGCCAGCTGTAAGCATTTGCTGATGTGCAATGTGCAGTTGGCAGCCAAGTGGGTAACGCCCCCGGACTCAATAACAATTTCACGTTCTAGTACCCAAAGTGCTGCACAAACATGAAATCGAATAAAATCAAATATCGACTGACTATAAAACTGTGCTATGCTTCTAAATATGGATTGGTCAGTCATGGTTGACTATCGAAATGAGATTGTTATTAATATAAATATGCATATTGTTCAGACAGGGCATCTCTTAATTGTATAAATTCATATGCATAAATACGTATGGCTTATAGCAGAGGAAGTGTATTTAACTTATTCTTATCAAATATAGACAAGACTTCTGGCGAACGCGATCGTACGATCTACTTAAATGCATCGCTCACAAATTATTCATCAGTTAACAAGAAGTTGCGCTGCGATGAGGTTCTTCTGGATTAGCTTGGCACTCGTGTGCTATTTTTCACAGGATTGTCTTAGTGTTTCCGTACGACGACCATTTAATGTAATTTAAAGTATTTTCATTTGTGCAGATATTTAAAATATATATGTTTCAGTACGGATCTACATCATATGAAATTCCAGTAGATGAACCCAAAAGTGCTGCAGAAGTTGTTGTTGGCAGCGCCGCTCATTCAGACATTTTCAGGTATAGTTTATAGTATATATATATAGGGTCGTATATAATTAAAAATTCTATACAAATGTTATTCCCCCTTTTAATTGACAGATTAAAGGAGGAACTAAATGAGCTGTACGGAATGGTCGATGAGTATATACAGGCCAATTATGATAACAATTCTAGTGAGCTGAAAAACTTAACAGCGACGGATATTATTAGGAAGCTTATAGATACCAACGCGACCCACACTTTGAAGAGTTTGCCTTCGTCATGTCCACCATATAGAAATGCACATGGCATTTATACGGCCAATGTTACGGGTCTGCCACCCTTTCAAGTGCTGTGTAATTCAAATCTAGCCGGTCCGGGCTGGACGGTGATTGCATCCCGAACTGTCGGCGATCTAAACTTCTTTCGCAACTGACGGGAATATAAGCAAGGGTTCGGCAATCTGACAAATGAATTCTTTATTGGTCTGGATAAACTACACGCCATAACTGCCTCACAGCCGCACGAACTCTATATCTACTTTGAGGACTTCTCGGGCAATAAGCGTTATACACGTTATGATGAATTTTTAGTTGATACAGCAAGTGAAAAATATGCCATAACAAAATTGGGCAATTATTCCGGAGATGCGGGCGATTCTCTAACACGTCACGCCAAAAAGAAATTCTCCACACATGACAATGACAACGATGCTAATTCCCAAAACTGTGCCATTGAGCGTATGGGTGCTTGGTGGTATGCTGATTGTAGCGACAGGTGAGTCTATCAAACACCTCTTAAATAGCATAGAGTGTATTTTAAATTCGTTATGCTTTAAGCAATCTATTCGGACTCTATTTGGCTGGCAAGGACAACAGTAAATTATTTTCAAAAGGTATGTTTTGGATTACGTGGCTAGGCACGGAGTATTCATACAAAGTGGTGCAAATAATGGTGCGACCAAAATGTCCCTGCTCCTACTCAAGTTAATTGGAGCCAAACACCTTAGCATAGCAAAATTAATGGATATAAATAAACAAACGTTTCTTTGATTATATATATGTATATTATATTTTGCTCACAAAGGGAAAAAATAGTTGTTACGCATAACCATTTTCATAAACAGCAACAAATATAAGTTTTCGCATCTCACCCGTATGCGGTCGCTTGTTTGCAACTGATAAGTATTTAAAATTTAACGGTCGCCAAAATTACATTCGGCATGTCGGTTGGGTCCAAAATTTGACCAAAACTCAGCTGAACTACCAGGCGAACATAAATGTCAGCAGGTAGACAGCACAATTAAAACAGATTGTGCGCCGGCGCGCCATTGGTCACATATATGTATAATGCGCGGTGCAATAACTGTAACTAGCCTTTTGTTTTGATTCCTATAGTGATGCCAAGACACGCCAGTGTTGCGTTGAATTTGGCTGAATTTAACAAAAAATGGCTAAAAATGGCTAAAGCTAGCTATTTATTTTTATAGATGGCTGAAAATTTAAATACTCATATATATTTTTATTGAGCTTATTTTAAGCTAGAATATCATGTATGTATACATTTTTTAAATATAGACATAGAATGAAGATATGTCCTATTTTTAGCCATTTTCTGTTAAATTCAGCCAAATTCAACGCATCACTGGCGTGTCTTGGCATCACTATAGGAATCAAAACAAAAGGCTAGTTACAGTTATTGCACCGCGCATTATACATATATGTGACCAATGGCGCGCCGGCGCACAATCTGTTTTAATTGTGCTGTCTACCTGCTGACATTTATGTTCGCCTGGTAGTTCAGCTGAATTTTGGTCAAATTTTGGACCCAACCGACATGCCGAATGTAATTTTGGCGACCGTTACATTTTAAATACTTATCAGTTGCAAACAAGCAACCGCATATGGGTGAGTTGCGAAATCTCATTGATATCTCGTTTAACGCCGGGTTGAAACCCTGGATCATGCGATTCTTTGTACACCGAACTCGTCGGAATTGCAAGGGTATGGGCGCAGTTAAGTCTATTTTGTTATAAAAGGCATACATATTTTATTCAAAATGTTAATTCAATTGCTTTTATAAAAATGCAAATTTAAAATCAGTTAAATTTATTTAAAGGGCAGGTTTTACTTGTCTCCTGCTGATCAACGTCTCCGATTGGCCATAAGTATTCCAATTCTTTAAGATCAATATGAATGTCCAATTCAGAGTGTAGCCTTTTAATTTTTAATCAAAACAGGGCATAGAGGCATGTGCATACAAAAGTGATGCCAGGATAATGCGATTGAATGTGGTGGATTAAGCTGAATAACTAATAATCCGCCGCAACTAGTCAGCGATTTATTTCGCTAAACGTCACCAATTTGAGTAAATTCAGCTCGATCTAGTTAAAAAGTGTCTTGTACTTACTGTGCTGAGAACAATCTGAAGGTGAGCATAACTAAAACTGATAACATTATTTGTAAGTAAAATACTCTTTAAATAAATTATATTCATATTTTTTATTTATATCGTTTTTGAATTTAAAGCAATCTCATAATGTTGTCTATGCCGATGTCTCCTGTTGCTTAATGCGGATTAATTTCATTAAATGTACATTATCACTCTTATCAATTAAAAACACAAACTAAAGCCTATGATATATTTATGAATGTATATATATATATATATATTTAGTTTAGTTCTTAATTAGGCTGTCATTTGAATATGTGAGCATAGTTAAGGATATTTATAAATATGTTTAATTTCCTTGGAAATGACTTGATCAATTATTAATTTCAATGCGCTGCCTGCAAGTCATCATAGATTTTCCATAATTTTGATTAATGCCATTCCATTGGGCCGGCGCCTCCTCGGGCCGCTCTTTGGGGGTTTTTGGTTAAGAGTATGGTTATCTGTAGGTCTTGACAATCCGAATGCTGTCTATATAGTCCATACAAATTGAAGCGCAGTTCATGCATTGCTTATAACGAGTACATCATTTACAATTGTTTATGTATGTCTAATTATTTACATTTTTCATTTTCGCGGTAATTTTCATGTGACTGTGTGTGCGTGCTTTTTTTTTAACAATTTGTCAACAATTCAAACGTATTTATTATTTTTATTATTTTTTAATTTTTTTCTTATGCAATAAAACATAAATCATATGTTTTAGCTTATTTTATCATTTGGTTGGCAACACAATTTTAGTGCACTTTCCTGCCAGGCCTTGCAAAGGCGCTTCTATTAAAAAGTTTTCGAGTAAAGTCAAATTAGTTGTTGATAGTAAAATTTCTGGAATAATTGTGGAAAGTATTACACGGCACAGCAAAAGTAAAGTAGTTACACCTAATGAAACCGAACCAAATGAAACTAAATTTGAGAAATACATACACACATATGTTACATACATTACATGAAATTGTTGCAAATAGATATTGAATTATCTGATATAAGAGGCAATCGAATATAGGGCGAAAGAGCATGTGTTCAGTTGATCAATTTACTGGCTCAAGCTGTTTGTGTTTTCAGGCTATTTCGATTTGGGAATGGGCTGGGCAGGGCAGACAGAAATTGAACCGCATTGCACTTGGCTAATTGCTTAATTAACTATTTGTTGTTATTTTTTGTTTGTTTTTTTGTTGCAATGTGTGCTGCATGTTGTTAGTTTAGCTTGGCTGTGTTTTGTTCTTTTGGTTATTTCTTTAAATTTTCATTTTTCGGTTCTTTTAATGGCACTTTTAAATACAGTTTGCTTTACGTTTTAATGTTGCGAATGCATTGCCAGCAGCGAGAGAAGCGTCAGCAGCCAACAACAAACAGAGCGCGCGCTTAGCCCAGCACTGGCCTTGCCCTTTGACCAGTCATAGCCCTCCTGATTGCTGCCCATTAGCTTCTGTTCGGATTTGCCGATCTCATTTAAATTCGACTGGTACTTAATGCCCACTGTAAGTTTAGTTTAGAGTACGGAATATAAAATTCAGCTGCAATATAAAACAAAACTGACAGCCAAAAGCTTTCGCTACTCACATTTATCAATCACAATCACCGAGTTCGTGGGCACATCCCCACCGAAGCCATTGAAGGGTGTGTTTCCGTCATAGGGAAAGTTAATCGTTGTTGTTGTTGTCGGCAATGTGGTTGTTGTGGGCGGCGGCTGTGTGGTTGGCGGACTGGACACTGTAAGCAAGTAACAAAAGTGTTCAATTAGTGTTGGCTATCAGATCAGAAAACAGTTTTGCAAGGTGTCAGGTGTGTGAGAAATAATATATATAAGATAAATTATATGTAACAGTTATCTTATGCATTCATTCTTGCAGTATTTAAATAATTACATATTTATCAGAATTGTTTAAGATATAGACGCTGGCTCTGTTAAATTGTCTTAAAGCTCAACTATTTCTTTAAAAATAACAAATCAAGTTAAAGCGTTTATCTGAATAATGCAGAGTATTTAATTGTCGTAGTTTATTAAAAGGAGTTTCTGCCTTCTTTAGTACTTGCTTCAAACTTTCACTTGTGCAATTCTATGCTCGACTCGTAGTCCGAACAGCTTTTCAGCAGTCGTAAATAGACGCTATTGACTCGCTTTTCGTTTTCAATTTCTTTCCTTCGTTCAGGGAATGTTTTTTGGTGCCATATCATTATTGACGGCAATTTGTTGAGTAAATTTATGAGGCTGGGCACTTGGTGATTGCCCTTGCCACGCCTTGACTCCTTGCCGAGAGCATTGCCAAAGGATGCTACAAACTTTCATAGCAATGCTGACCACTTAATGACATTGTCACAGGTTCATTGTTCTCATTGTATTGTGTGTTGCCATTATTGCCGCCCTCTTATTATCAGCTGCTGTGGCTGTTCTTTGTTACCTTTAATTGGTTGATCGTTGCCAACTCCAGCCGTCCTTCCCCCTGCCGCATTTGCTGGCCTTGTTGTTGCTGCTGGCGGCGCGTCAGACTCGAAGCTGGCTGCGTTTTTATCGCCTGCGCGCCCAAAAATAAATTAACTTGTCGCATTTACACATTGACAATTTCTGGCCGCTATTGGCCATGGCCTTTTGCCGGCGTCCTCTTTTTATTGTCGCGCAACGAACGAAACGAACGGATATTTTATATTGTTTTATGAACTTTTGTGACCGGAATTGCGAGTTACGTACTTTCTGATACACCCATATATATGTTGCAGTCGGCTGCTTTAATGGCCCACCAACTGGGACTGATTTAGCAAATTGACAGATTATTGGCATTTTATTGGGCTCATGTCCAACGTAACAATAAAATCATAAAATTGTCGCGTATACGCGGTGTTAGCTGTCTATATATGTTATTTTCACATTCCTTGACATAACTGTTAAATCGATTAACAATTATTTACAGTCGAGGCAACACGGCTTTAAAACAAAGCCATTCGTCCAGTTCAACAATTGTGCAGCAGGGCTACATTTAAATTTATTTCAATACAAAAGGGCATACAAATGTTTGCCAAATTGATTTAGTCATTTCTGGCTATGTCTATCAAAAGAATCTATGAAGTGCTTAAGTATCTGGAAGCGTATAGGTATTGAATGACTATACCTCTAACGGAATCTATTGCAGATACTTTCATATACTTTAGATACTTTCATATCTTTTAGATTATAGATACTTTTACTGACACCTTTATATTTTTTTCCATAGATGCTTGTCTATATCTCCATTTAATTTTGTGTCGGTTATTAAAGATTCTTTTCTTTATAACAGATACTTTCGGGGGTCTCTTGAATTTAATTCTTTAACAATAATTAAATGTTTTTTCCATAATCTAGCTGTTTTACCATGCACATATATGTACATCTAAAACTAACGACCGCATTATCTGGCTGGAATTTCATCTAGCACACATTTACACACACGCCTGTCAGGCGCCATCCAATCAAGTACACACATTTGGCCGGCATAATTAAAGCCACAAATGGTGTAGTTTTGAAATGTGCCGTGTCCAAAAAATAAGTGCGCACACATTTGGGCCAACACTTGTTATTTATCGCACTTTATGTCTGTGCTGTGCCGCACTTCGGTCTGCGTATTATGGGCCAATATTAAAAAGTATAAATAACACGTTGCGGATACTTACTGTAGAGCTTTATGTTGCCATCCATGTCGCCACGAGGATTTTTGGCGACACATTTGTAGTTGCCATAATCGCTGCCCTGTACATTGGTAATCGTCAGCCGCATTGTCGCCTTGTACGATGGATTGCCCGGAATCGTTTCGGTTCTGCAATGTGACAAACAAGCACAACAAAATTCATAAAAATTTTAATAATTGAATGTAGTAAGCGCAAAGCAGTTGAATAATCGGCATAATTTGTCCAAGTTCAATGACAGCAATTGCGTTGTGCACCGTTCTACATAGGTCAGTGGCGACTGGCGCAGCTTCAATGAGCTTCAATCAGAGGAATCAAGGCCAAGGTGAAACTGATAAGCGTGGTCGGAACAATGCGCACAGTGGTTCAAAAAACAATTACAAAACAGGGTGTCACCAAAGTATATAGTTTCATAATCAAATTCATAATCGTCCTTTCTAAATATAGACTTTCTGCCAAGCTTTCAGTTTCAAACTGATGAGTAGAAAATTTATATTTTAAATTATTATACTAAGACTACAACCTAATAAAAGTCTTCGCAATGCATATTTAGAACATACGAATGAGCATATTTTATTAACACTAGCTTAATCAAAAAAATCTATATTTAGCTATGGGAAAATGAATAAATAAATATTTTTTAAAAAATGTATGTATCAAATTTGATTTAATCTGAAATGTATATCGTCAATTCGAGTCATTGAAGTTTTTTTTACAAGGATTTAAAATGTTGTATTCGTAGGGAATTAGCGATTTAAATCAGGAAACTATTTGTTATTATGCTGGTTTTTTTCAGATATGGTACCAGTGTGCCGCACTGCGATGAAGACTGACAGGCAGTCGGCGTTGCTTGCCGCCGGCTAGGCTGCCAACCAGCTGGTGGATCTAAGCTCTAGCCAGTTATAGTTGATCGCATCAACATGCTGAAGCTCAGCCTGATTGCCTGGCTGCTGTGCTCGCTGGCTTGGCGCACCACGCCCACCAGCTGCCGCCAGACACGGCCAGCGCCGAGTATACAGGAGCTGCTCGCCAATCAACTGCAAAGCTTTATGGACACCAAGGCGCGTCCGTGTGAGAATTTCTATCAGTATGCCTGCGGCAATTGGCAGCTGCAGCAGGAGGAGCACACACAACACACACAGCACAAAGCGCAACAACAACAACAGAAACAACAACAACAAAACTACCAACAAAAAGCGCATAGGGAACAGCACGAGCAGCTACAGCCGAGCGACACGTTGGCTGTGCTCGACTATGCACTGAATCGTCAGCTCGAACTGTTGCTGAGACGTGGTGTCGCCAATGAAACCAGCGGCGAGGAGCAGCTGCTGGCTGTCCAGGAGAAAATGCGTAATTATTATCGCGCCTGCAAGCGCCTGAAGCCGTATAATCTGAAAAAGTATCTGCAATTGCTGCAGCCAGGCAATGGCACAAACTGGCCGCTGCTTAGTCGCAGCTGGCAGCCGGAAAAGTTCAACTGGCTGGCGACAATTGGACGACTGCGTTTGTTCGGTCTCAATGGAGTGCTGCTCAAGGAGCAGGTGCTGCCGCGCTGGGATGACTTCAGCAGCTACAGCATTTACCTGGATAAGCCCAGCTTGATGGAGACAATGCCCATGGGCGAGGGCGCCATGATAGAGTTGCTTTTGGACATTGGCCAGACGAAGCGCGTGGCCAATGAGCTGGCCCGCCAGGTGGATGCCTTTGAGCGGCAACTGCATCGGCTGCAGGAGCTGGAGGATGACGAGGGAGCCAAGGAAATGCAACTGGGCTATTTGGCGGAGTATATGCCGCAGTTGCAATGGCTAGCCTACATGCAACAGTTGCGTGCAACCACAGCCGGTTACGAATTGGACCTGCTCTCCCCGCTCATCATACAAAATCTGCCGTACATGCGTGCCTTGGACGAGTTGCTGCAGCACCATAAGCCGGAAACCATTTGCAACTACATTATGCTAAAGCTGCTCGCATTCCTCAAGCAGCAGGGACCCGCAGAGATTTCGCGTATCGAGTGCATGGCCAGCTTAAGGCGCGCCATGCCGCTGGCTGCCAGTTTGTTAATTGGACAGCGATTCCACGAGTCCAGCTCTGAGCCGCTGGTGAGTGACATATTCAGCCGGATGAAGCTGCGCTTTGGGCAGCTGCTCAGCGAGAATCGTCTGCAACTTCAGCAGCCCATTGTTCAGGTGTTGCAGGAGAAGTTGCAGGCAATGCGTTTGCAGCTGGGCTTCGTTCAACTCAATGACTCCAGCTTTGTGGAGGAATACTACGAGCGTGTGGAGTTGAATGCGCATAGCTTCTATGGCAATCAGTTGGCATTGCTGCGGCTGCGCGTTGAGCAGAATCATGAGCTGCTTCTGGGCAACGGCCAGTCGGATGCCAACAACGTGAGCTATCTCACGGAGCACTGGCTGAGCAGCAGTTCCTCACCCTTCTATGTGAAGCCCAGGAATCTGGTATTGGTGCCCTATGGCCTGCTGCAACTGCCCGTTTGGCATCGCAACATGAGCGAGCTGCAGCAGCATGCGGTGCTGGGTTTTACGCTCGCTCACGAGATAATCCATGGTTTTGATAGCTCCGGCATTGACTACGACAGCGTGGGCAACATCATGGGCCCCAGCGAGGAGATATCGGCCAATCCAGGCTTTGTCCAGGGCCTCAACTGCATGCAGCAACAGCTGGCCACCGGCTCAAGATCGCTCAACGAGAAGCTGGCCGACTACGAGGCGCTGCGTCTGGTCTATGAAACTTTTTTTGGCGCCGATATGCTGATAGATCGAAGAGAGCCGCGTGATCCCCTGTTGCCACAGTTCAGCCAGCGCCAACGCTTCTTCATCAGCTTTGCGCAGTTCTTTTGCGGCAAGCTGCAAAGTCTCAGTTTGCATGCGCAACATCTGGAGCACGCTGTGGATGAGCTGCGGGTGCTACAAACGTTGGCCAACTTTGAGGAATTCTCCCGAGAATTCGGCTGCGAAAGACGCACCAAGATGCAAGCCACAGAAAAGTGCAGAGTATGGTAAAGTCGAACACTTGCCCAATTAGGATTAGGTTAAAAAATGTGAAATACCAAAGCGAACATCATCTAATTTAAGAAACTAATTAAGCAATTTCCTGATGTCATTTTCCGCGAAGCATCGATTATACATTATCATCAATTGTATATTCAAATAGAGATATATTAAATGTAAAATTTAAACGTTAACTTTAATGAATTACTTGCAGTAGAGAAAGTTTAATTTAAATTATGAGGAATTAGCCAGTAGTAGAATTGAAATATTTAAATAATAATAATGAAATCTTCTTGAGGTTTTTAAGTGATGGATTAATTTCTGACAATTACCACAGTCGACACTTTTGAGCCGGGTGCATATTGTCAAGATCTTCGCGACAACCGTGTGTCTCAGCAAAGGCTGAGAAATTGATCAGCATTTGCTTTAAGCGCAACTCATCCGCATCGTGATCCGCAAAGTCATCTGGTGTCGTATTGCCACAGAAGAACTGCGCCAAATTTAGAAAGAACAGCTGCTTCAGCGAGAGATTCGTGAAACTGGGCTGTGCCAGATTGAATTTGGAGCCAGGACCAAAGTAAACGTCATATGCCAGGCGTATACCCGCAATATCCGCCTCGCGTTCATCCAGATAATCGGTTTCATTGCGGTTGAGGCAGCTAATGCCCGATGAATACTCACTTTCCATTATGATTCGTTTGCCCAGTTTATTGTAGTTACCTCTGAAATCGAAAATAAAGCCACCAGAGACAAATCCGTGCATTAGCTCGTGGCTCAACATGAAGCCCAGCAGGCTGACTTTAAATATATCATGTGCGTCGTGATGGAAAATGGGCTCCTGGAGTATGCCATAGGGTACAATAATTATGTTTTGCCGCAGCAAATAGTATGGTGTTGAGCTCATGCCTGTCTCCGAATCGGATATAAAGAAGAAGTTGGTCGCATTAAGTGCCCCATCCAACTGCTCAAACCAGCGACGCGTACGAAACTCCAATAGGCGCAGATGATTCAGAGCATAGTTACGATCCTTAGCAAGGTGCAAATCGGCATAGTAGCGCTTCACAAAGCTGGTACGATCTGCAGTGTTGGGCATATTCCCCACGTTGATGGTCATGTTGAGCATCTTGGCTCTCAGCATTTGCACCTCGCTAGCCAACAGCTGTAGACTATTGGCGTCAAGCTTCTTGAGGAACTGTTGGCGCAGCAAGTGAAAGAGATCCAATACGTCGGACTGATGCTGTCGCAGCTTGTCCGAGCCAATAAAGCGCTGCTCGTAGAGCAGATTTGTGGCCAGCTCCATGTTGCGGCGCACATCCTGAATGCATTCGATGGGCTCGTCACTTTGCATGGTCTCCTTCTGCACATAGGAGACAAAGTGCAACATTATATAAGTGGCCACCACCTCACGATTCCAGCCATTGACCAAATGCATAAGCGCGGTTAAACAAGCCGAATTTTCTACTTGCAGAACATAGTCAGCGGGCACATTGCGGCCCAGCACAATCTCCAAATACTTTCGCCATTGACCGCCAGTGTGCACTTCTAGCTGTTGCAGGCTCAGCTCTTCGTAGAACTCCGATTTTTCCTCATACTCCATTTCGACCAGTTCACGTACCGCAGACTCAAACAGCTTGACTTTCCGCGCTAAAGTCCACGCCTTTTCACTGTTGATGCCCAACATGCGTAGTGTCAGCATGGTCAGCAGAGTGCCTCTGAGCCGTTGATCCTTATGCTCAAAGTAGGGCCTGTCAATGCTTACGGTGTACTTGCTGCTGTTCTTCAGATCCGGCAACACTTCGAGCTTGAAAATGACATTGGTCAGGCCATAGCGTCGCAGGCGTGCCAATGTTTCCATCCACTGAAACTTTATGCTGCTCCAGTGATCAGGGCGGCGCTTCAACTGCGGCCAAGGTATTTGCTCATTTGGCGGAACTAGCTCAAGGTAAGTCCTACTCAAGCGTGTTGATTCCGATGCTTGCCGACAGGTTTGATAGAAGGTTAAGACCTTGTCCTCTACACTGCCTGGTTCCAGTGGACGCTGCTGCAGCTCATTCATGAGCACGATGAGGTTCTCGTTTACCTTATGATCAATAAGTCCAGTTATCTCCGAAAAGCTATCATTCTCATGTTTCTCACCCCACTTGCCACACGCGTATTTATAATAATCATTGCACGCTGCAACACTCTCGTTCACATAGCCTAGTATCTGATTCAACAGCTGCGTATTGGGGTTAAACGCGGGAGGATAACCTGCCTGGCCACTTGCTGATAGCCACAGCAAAATAAATAGCAACTCACAAATGCGACAAGTCGATGTTGGTGTCGACATCGTCTTTGATGAACTGTTCTCGCCGCTCTGCTGTATGCCAGATTTAAGCTAAACGCTGCTGTACAATCGGCACATATACTAAACTAATATTCCCTTCATCCGTATTATTTCGCGCAGTGACAACAAATGGGGTATTTTCTGAGAAAGGGCTAATCAAAGTAGAATCGATGAAAGCCCTTGAATAGGTTAAAAGTGCTATTGATAGGGTATTTTATGTTTTGTTTTTTTTTTTTTTGTGTGCAAATCGCAATTCTTGATAATTGTGACTGCTTTGTATTTGCTTCTTTTTTTTTTTTTTTGTGATTTTGTTCTTATCTGATTAATTCGCACTTTTTATAGTATAAAATAATATACACGCTCTTTTAAGTAAACAAAATAATTAAGAGCGCACAGATCAGGAGTATTCGAAAATAATAAACGCTGAAACATACATATTCAATTATTTCAATATATTATACTCTCTCTCTCTCTCAGACTGATCTTCTCTTTAACTTTCTCTTCTTTCAGTCACTACACACAAGTAAGTCCGCCTAAAGACATTAATTATATTTTGGTGATTTTTAAAAAGTCAAACTTTCTCTGTATATGCAGCTAAAGGTGTAAAAATCTTAGCTAAAATGCAAAACAACTTATGCGCAAAGCTATAAATATTTAAAAACTTACTTGTACTTGGACGACTCGGTGATCATTTGTTCATTCTCGCGCGTCCAATAATTGAGCGATGTGGGATTGGCCTCGATGAAGCACTCCAACGTAACATTGAAGCCCATGGGAATGCCCACCAGCTGATGCGGTATCCAGACCATGGGCGAAACTGCGAAATGAAATTTCCCAGAATTCGGGTATATGCAAATAGTTGACTGATTCATTCACAAACTTACAGTCGACGCTGACTTTAATGCGCTTTGAGACGCTGGGCGGCACACCATTCGAGGCAATGCAGAGATAAGCGCCCATGTGGAGGCGAGAGATGCGTTCCAGTTCCAAGGAGTCTGTCTCCAGGTCGTTCACTGCAAACCAAACCAAGAGCATGCAATGGAGTCAGTCCATGATTTGATGCGATTCGCGATTTCGTGGCAGTCGGACTTACCTTCGAGCGTCTTGTTGATGACTATTTTATGGTTGTCATCTCGTTTCCATTTGATGGATGGCTCGGGGCTGCCTTTCGCCTTGCAGCGCAGGGTGACATTGTCGCCCTCGCGCACAATAACATCACTGGAGGTCAGCGCATCGTCAATGTTTGGCGGCACTGCAAATAGCATGGTGGGGTAAGGAAATGGGTATTATTATTCCTGCCAGCTAAACATAAACTCAAAGCGAACGCCACTTGATTTAAATGCAAAAACTTTTGCATTTTGGCAAACAGCGTTGCCAAGAAAGTGGAAATAAAGCCAAGCAAGTCAAACATAGCATGAAACCAACGAATCATATATACACTTGTAGAATAACAAAAAATAGCGCTCCTCTCATTTCGCTTTTTTGAAGATTGTATGTACACATCCTTTAAGTTTTTCATATTTTATAACATAATATAATATGAATGGCTTACTTAACCGAACTTCATTTATGCTAATACAATATATTGGACTTAAAGCTTTCTTTTAAAACATACCAATTAATAACTTCTCGGGGTCTTTAATCTTAAGATCAATTCAAGCTTTTATGAGCAACTAAGTTGAGCGACAATTTAATTCAAGAATCATAGCAAACAATACGACAAAGTTTGGTTGCATTTCGGTCAGTGTATAAAAAAGCATTTCACGCGTTGTTGACTTTGACGCGCTGATTCAACTTTGTCCCAAGAGATATTTTAGTTTAAGCCTAATTAGCTTTGCGACAAGACTTTGGCCTGGCTAACTTTTGGGGCGAGTCTGTTAATTTAAAAATCGATGCAAGAACCTTCATCAAATTGTCATCAGCCTTGGGGGACACCGTGGCGCTCTGGATTTCAATTGCTGGCTGAGCGGCTCTGTCAAACCCTTTTTTTTGGCGTTTCTTTGCCTTTGCCCTTCAAGCTGAAAATCTGTAATGAAAAATCTATGCAAATCAAAGCGCACAAAGCTAGAAGCTAAGGATTCGGTTGGACCCAGCGCCAGACAAGCGGACCGACGTATACGGGCAGACAGACAGACGACATACAGACTACTAGCTGGACATATGGACCTGAGCTGTCGTAGTCGCTGACAGCCGCTGCAGTTTGTCTCATTTCATATTCAGAGCGGCGCCTGTAATCAAAAGATATCGCATGCAATTTTTTCGTTTGGGTTAAAGCCTGGACAAGTCCTGTAAGTCACGTGCCCGACGCGTTTAGTTGTCGTCTGACGTCTGACGCCTCATCGACTATCTCGTGGCCTGACCCCAAGCAAATCAATAATGCGTACATTATGCCATGAACATTTCAATAAATACTTAAATGCGCAACTTTATCAAATCGCCAATCGATTGATGGTTGAACACAGATTGGAAAACATAATTATATTGACAGCAAATTCATAGTTCAATCACAGTTTGTTTTGTATTTATGCTGAATTTATATTGTATGAAGAATTCCCTTTTGCATTGTGTTAACGCATACAATTTTCAATTATTAAGTTAATTTACAATAAACATTTGAATTATTTTCGAATTAGTTTTTGCGGGGCTAGTCACGAACGCTTCTCGTGAAATACCGCTTACATTTTCCATTTTCCATTTACATTTCCACTTTATTATATAATTATTAAATTTTGGCCCAAGGCTCGTTTAAGAGCGTACCGTTTGGTTAAATCTTTACCTTTTGGTCGGTCACATTCCCGTTGGGGACATGGCGCATAAAACCAAACTGTAATTAAAAGTTGCAATTACTTGAACTTTTTCTATGCGCTGTAAACTTTTGTCTCTGGCTCCTTCATTTCCCCAGTCTCATAATGCGAGGACGTTTATGAGCCAAAAGCGAGAAAAAGGAAAACTTTGTTCGAACCGTTTGCTGTGCTATTAATAAACGCTTGATGTGCTAATCGCCGAGCTGACCATAAGCGCACCGAATGGCTACTCGGGCAGCTGTTGGCCCGGCCCCTATGTTTTGTCGTTCTCGCCCGCCCATTTGACATATTAGTTTCTTTATTGATATTTAGCAGCTGGCGACAAGAAAAAAAAACTAGCAAAGTTTTAGACACAGACGTGCTAGTGGTATTCGTGGTCGTATATTGTTTTTCAGGCTAAACTTTTCACATACAAGCTGGAAATTTAATTACCCAAAGTTTGCTTTCGAGGCTGTCAGGATATGTGCCTGATAAACTCAACATTGCGTTTATTCAATTTATAACTTAAGCTTACGCTTCGCGCAGGGTATTCATTGAGTCGACATATTGTGCCCGAATTACTTAATTGCCGTCTCCATTCCGAAATATTTTCGGCGCGCTGATAACAACGTGACCATCTAACCGGCTAACTATTTAACGAGCGGCAATTAGTCTTCATATCCTTAATTCACACACACACACACACGACCCAAGGCACACCTAGCTTAATCACAGTTTATCAGGTCAGGTGAAAAATATTGATTGATAAAAAAAACTGAGCGTTATCAATTTCATTTGAAATGCACAAATTTTCTTTGACTCTATTGACCCGAGTCCTACAAAATCATATTTTTTTAAGCTCTATTTATCCGAGTTCTACAAAATCATATTTTTTTAAGCTTTGGTAAACAGCATTCGATGCGTTTACAAAGCTGCGCAGGCCAATGGACAGATATTGCTCAATCGAATCTGAGTTTAAGGCTTATCAATAATATATATATTATATTATATATATTTATAGCGACAGAAAAATGATCAATAACAAAATTAATTCTGATTTATTTGCTTGTCAAATATTTAACTGCAGTTAAGCTGCAGGTTTCAGGTTTTGTTTCATATTAAACGGGCTTTCGGCTTCGCTGAAATTTCTGGACTAAGCTTTAGCATTAGAAGAAAGTCATTTAGTAGCACGTGTGATTTAGGTCTATCCTCATGGCAATGCATTTGCCATTAGCTGCTCGCCCTTTTGCCAGCGAGTGTCAACGTTGTAATTGAATTTAATAAATTGCCTCATTATGTGAGTAGAAATTAAAAATTATGCGGCAACAGAGTCAACATTGTGCAGAGCTCGTTATTATTGTTGGATGTTGTTGGTTGTTGGCTGTTGGTTGTTGTTTGGCTTGTTGCATGTTGTTGCACTTGTTTTGCATTTTGTGCGGTCATTTGGTCGACTTTTGAGCTGGGGATTGCCCCTCGCCCCACCCAATTGTTCACACACCACTCCCCGGGGCGCCGCAAAGTATGCAGCACAACGGCTGTTGCCAGTTGGAGCCGCCGCATTTAAATGCATTTTGTGTGCGTGGCTCATAAATTCAAACGCGTTTAATGTTTGTTTTTACCGTCCCGCCATTTTATAATTTCGTGCTTTGGGCTTGTGTTCATTTTATTTCTGTTCATTTGCCGCGTTTCGAATTTGGCGCTTTCTGTTTGGCTCAGCAAATTAAATTCACAAATGTTGCGAGTTTCGAAATTTATTTATTTATTTACTCGTTTGTCCAACATTATTCCGAATGCTTTTTGTCTCTCTTTATTTAGACGGCAAATGCAACGTTTTAATTTCATTACATTTATTGCCCAATGTAATTATCATTTTTTTCTACCACTTAAATTGTTAAATTGAGTGCCTAGCTAAGGGAGTGGGGCCTAGGACATGGTGTCCATGTGATTTCTCCTCGCCTAACATAGGCGGGAGGTTTTTCGATTTTTATACCCTGAACCCATTAAAAATGGGTATAAGGGTATATTGTATTTGTGCAAAATCCAAATGTATGTAACAGGCCGAAGGAAGCATCTCCGACCCCATAAAGTATATATATTATTGATCAGCACCAATAGCCGAGTCGATCTAGCCATGTCCGTCTGTCCGTCCGTCCGTATGTCCGTCTGTCCGTATGTATGAACGCAAGGAACTCAGAACCTATAGTTGCTCCTAGAGCCTGCGCAGATCGAGTTTGTTTCCGATAATCGATAACTTACTCCGTTTCCAAGCAATCGATAAAAATCGATATCGATATCTTGTTTTTTGGGCAACTTTGGTAAATAATAAGAGCTAGAGTCACCAAACTTGACATATAGCATCTAAAATAGAATATATATATGCATTTGATGTTGGAAGAATAGGGTTCAGGGTATCCCCTAGTCGGGAGCTCCCGACTAGAACCTCTTGCTTGTTTTGTATGTAAACATTGCGCGTCATTTCATTTTGTTGATTTTAATTGGATTTGGTATGTTAATTAAATGCATTTCATTTGATTCAGGTTTGCTACATTTGACAATTTTAAATTTATGTTTACAGTCGGAACTTTTCTATATACCCTCCTTTGTTAACAAGAAGGGTATTTAAAGTAGAGTCAAATTAATTGTGTAACTTGCGAAAACACCTACTTAATTTCGATTTGATATTAAAGCAAGAGCAGTTGTAGTGTATCGTTTTATATTGACATTTTAGACAAACCAATCAAACATCATACGGAAGCCAGAGACTAGAACATATTATTACATATATGCTTTTTTATAGGGTATTTTTCCGCGAGCTAAAGCATCCAAACTTATTTCTGACCTCTTGTACAACGAAAAAGAGCGTAAATTCGTATTTGATTTTCAAATTAGTTGTCATAATGTGCACAACAATAATATACTACCCAAAAAATTCAAGTAACTATAACAATTAATTGTTGGGCCATTGGGCAATTAACAGTTTACATTGCCAATGGTTCAGATGTTTTGACTGACTATTAAGGGATGGCTGACAATTGGTCCGAGTGGTTTTCGGTACTTCCGGTATTCGCAAAGTTAACCAATAAATCTAATAAAAATGCAAGCAAGTTTTCAATGTCGTGCGGAATGCAAGAATTTCGCACGAGATCCGCTTTTCAAGTTGACAAATCAACATCATCCGGCGGACAAACATGTAGCGCACTGGACAAAAATGGGGCGGCCAGCCGGCCGGCCGAGAGGTGGGTGGATGTGGGCAACAGACGTTTTGCGGCAGTCACATAAATCAGTTTTTGTGGCAAAACTTGAAAAATATGTGCGCAAACAAATGGCAGCCAAGCGGAGAAGGCTGCAAAACTGAAAACTGCGCCATGCAACAGTTAGAGCATGGACATGGCAACACGAACCAGGGCAACAGAGGTGGACGTGGAGCCGAGGACGGAGACAGACAGAGACTGCCTCGCACACATGCAAATGCGCGAGGACATACCGACAAGGACACATATGCTGCACGTAGCAGGATTTTAGTTTAGGCTGGCCTAAAAAGCGACAGAAAAAAAAACAGGCCAGCGAATAGTTAAAAAACAAGAAGGGCTATTACGACCGAATTATAGGAATCGACCCAATCTACAAATATTTATGTTAAGTAATTTATATGTTACTCCCATTCCAACAACTATTAATGTTATATTTAAGATATATTTTCATATTTTTATTGCTCAGTCTATTGCCAGCTTTAAAGCACGGCTGATATACCCCATTGTGCCATGAGAGAGGCTAAAAAATGCCTGTGGCATATTTAAATTTTTCTTTTATTTTTTTTTCCGTTTATATTTTTTGCGATTTTGTGTTTTTTGCCTGCTGACCAGCGACCAGAGTTGTCGCACTTCTATTTTTTGTACTGGTAAATTTGCCTTTTGCAGGACTTTTGCCACATCAGCGTGTGTGTGTGTGTATGTGCATATAAGTGAGATAAGTGTAACCATTGTCTGTATGTTTGTGACAAAAAAAGAGGATATTTTCACAGAAAAAAAAACAGTCGCGAGATTGCAGAAAATTTCGTGAAGCGGCTGCCGCCGTTTTGGTCACGCCACGTCAAATTGCCAGAACACGCGTGTGGTGCGTGTGAGGCGTGTTATTTGAGCATTTTACAACACTGAAGCGTGCTTAACGGCTTTTTGAAAGTGCTATCAGAGAGCGTAGTACAAACAAAACAAAAAAATGGTGCACACAAAAAACAAGATGAAAAACAAAAAAAAATGTGTAGAGTCAGGCATACTGCAACGCTACGTAAACATGAAACGCTTAGGCATACACACATATGCACTTAAATGTGCACAATGTAATGGAATCTATGGGTATTACATATGGAACAGGAGACAGGTGTGGCGGGTCATGCAAATTGCTAAAATACACTTTGCCAACTGCTGTTACCCAGAGATACCGAATCGTATTCTGGGGCTCGGGCTTAAAGCAAACATTAGAGATTTAACTTTAAGAATTTTCGATGCCCACACAAATTATATATATATTTTAAAAATAAGAAAATTATGATACGTATCAAAAGTATCCCCTTTTTTTTTATCAGTTAACGCAATCAAATTAATCGCAATATCTGTTCGGACTTTAACTAAAGTTAAGCTTCAATAAGTTGTTTGCTTTTCAATATCTGCAATCGACGAATATTGACCATCGTTTAGTAACTCACATAGGAATTCAGTTTCACGCTGATATGAGACAATATTTATCTACTATATATCTGCAGTCTGAAATCTTCGGGATGCCGATGCATGCCACATATCGCTGACAAAAATTCCAGCAGAAGCGACGACATTTGCACTGCCGTACATTTTCCAGCGAGTCAGGCTCATGCTGTGGACCGCCTATGGTCAACACCATTGGGATAGACTGAGGAGAGGCACAGACGCACACACAAATGCCATTGCTCATGCTAAAATGTCAAATGGGTGAGTATGGGTGGGTGTGCGATTGTTCGACGTGTGAGTTGAAAACAAATTTTTTAAAGCATAGTTTTATGGGCAGGCAGCCAGGCAAGCTCGCAAGCTGGTAAGCAGGCAGTTCTGAGCGAGTCCAATGTTTGTTTGCCTTAATAAAGTGCTTTGTGGGGAATTTAATTGTATGTTTGTTTGCCTTGCTGACTAAAACAAGGCCTAAACAGCTTTGTCCGGTGCCTGGGGATTGGCTCTACTAATACCTGGCAACAGTTTGCCTGGCAAATGAAATGAAATATGCAAGGGACACGTGTCCAAGTTGCGATGATACGAGAGACGAACGCCAGAACAAATATTTCAATGTCAGCTAAGCTGACAAAGTTCACACACACACACACACCCACACGCACGCATACAAATAGTTATTCACTTACCGACAACTTTGACAAAGCCATATTGGGTTTTGGCTGTCACCGTGTTGATTTGGCACATATACCGTCCCATGTCCTCCTCCTGCACATTGTTAATGTGCAGAAACCAGGTGCGATGCTTGTCGTGCTTATCGTGCGTTACGCTAATCCTCGGATTGCGCGTTATCACATGATTATGCACCGTCAAAATGGCCGACTGCTCAAAGTGCATCCACGCCACCTGCAACAGAGACAGAAACAGAAACATAGTCAGGTCATGTAAAAAACAAAATTATCAAACATAATTAGCATACTTAGAGCCCCTTATCGGGCCAAAGTATCAAATGTTCATTTATAAGCAGCTGACAAATATGTCAGCCTTCTTTATTGGCAAACTTCGGTGCCATCATCATCAATTTTTATGAAGGATTAACGAGAACCGATGTTGTCCGGGTCCGTTGGTCAAATTGCCAAAGTTCGCGTCACACATGACAGCAGCTGTTGTCGCAAACTTTGCTGGCTTCGTGCGTCATCAGGATGCGCATCCTGGACGCCAACGCCAGCGCCAGCACCAGCTCCTTTGCTACTGCTTATGCAATAGTTTCACATAAAACAACAACATTTTATGCAAATTTAAGCGCGCAGAACATTGGTAAGACGTGCTAAATGTAAAAAACATACAACGCTGTCTTGATGCCATTTCAATGATTAATTTAAGCACACATCCTGCCACCAAAGCGACTGCGGCAACTCAACAATAACATCAATAAGAAGTGAATAAAGAGACAGCCAATGATCGAAATAGTGAGTACGTGGAGTTAGTTGAACCCTCGCATAGCAGAGGCGTTGTCAAGGGATGTTACTAGCAGGGGCTCCAAATTGGTTTCTGATAAAATGAAATATTTAAAATGAAAGATGAACAGGATAATCCGGGAGACTTCTAATTATTTATTTGGTCATAATCGATGCTTCATCTTTTATGATTGATATGCCGTGGTTACTACTCGACATTCCACTAGCACTTTACTTGATAGCTTGCAGTCCATGTTAAAATGATAGAAACTTCCATCAGTTTCTAGCCATTATTTGCGTTCGCTATGCAGCCTTTTAGTGTCCTCTTCGGAGGCACCTCTGTTGCGGCGCGTTTTTATATGTGAGATTGTGAGGTGGAGCTGATCCAAGGGTATCTGCTGCGGGCTGCTTAGAGCAGAGTGTCAGGCAACATAGACAGATATCGGTTAATTTTTCAATGTCTGCAATGAAAACGTGCGACAAGCCAGACGAGACAAGGAACAATGCCACTCGCCCTCGCACTCGCTTCTTGGCGCACAATTTGCCGTTTATTTACATTGGTTCCTTGCATGACGCTTTGGCAGCTCTAGTTGAATAAAAATCAAGCAGCTGTAGTTTGCTTAAGTAGTTCGCAGCCAACGCTACCCACGGCCAAGTCCCTACGCCAACAACAAAGTCAAATATTAATGAAGCCACGTTTATCAGTCGGGAGTCGAGGGTAAAGAGCTCAAAGTGGCAGCCGGGACAAGCGCCATGTAAAATCAATAAAACTGCATTAGCGTCCAACTTGCTGAAATGCTTAAAGTCAAAAGCTAAAAATGTACACACATTCACACACACTCGCCGTGTCCGACATTTTAAAGTGTTGCCCGCAAAATGTTGTGAAAATTCGCTGCATTTGCATTTCGTATTTTAGTAGTTTTTGAGGTCATTTGAATGAAATTAATTAGGCTCATGTAACGTAGCCAGCGAAAAAGTTGAAAAGCCAAACAAAATGGGCACCCTCTACCTCTTCAATCCACCCGGCCCCTGCCCAGCCGCAAAATTGTGCTGAATTTTGGCCAGTGAATGCGTTGCTGTGGTTTGAGTGTGTGACATTTGGCTTAATAATTTTCGGTTGCAAAATGTCAGCGAAAGTCAAGGCAAAGTTGACTTTGCAATGTGTGTGGCTCTGACTTTTTAATAGGCTTTCCATCTGCTATTAAAATTTTACGCATATTTAAGCCCATTTACAGCTGCAACGCCCTAACCAAGGATTAGCAAGAGCCTAGCACAGGAGCTAGACGACATCAGCCAGACACTTGAGCTCATCTTGTGGGCGCCTCTGCTGCTCCGCCTGGGCAATGCCCAATTTAACTTATGTCAATGGACTCACGGGGCCTACAATTGTGAGTACAAATTGCTCGTTAGCAAAGTATGCAGAGCAAAAGTCTGCTAAACCTATGTAGCAATAAGCGCTTAACTAGAAGAAAGCTCTTTCAAAATATTCGATAAGTGTTTAAGAAAAAATTTTGATTTCAATTCAATTGTATTGAGCAAGCAAATGACAAAATCTTTTTGCTTAGCAATCGATTAGAAAATAATTGTTTAAATAAGAGAACTCCTAAGTTTGACAGTTAGTGCAAGCAACAAATGTAAAAAGATAAAAGTTAATTAGAATGTCAGCGTTGTAAGCAGAGTATAGTTATTCCATATGTTCACCTAATTGTAAAATTACCCAAGTATAGTGCAGCTTGTTAAATTACAAAAAAAAAATAATAATAGATCATCAACAATTGTCATTTTAAATATGATAAGCCCAGCTCTTCAACGGCAGATGAAGTATTTTGCTAGACATAGCCATATCATTCTAACACTTCATCTAGAGGCATACATGCATGTCCAAGTTTCAAGTCGCTGACTTCAAGATCGCTAAAATAAAAATAACATTGTAAGAAACAGAGTGTTACACAGCCTAATACACTTTGCACTGAACGAATAAGTTAAAAGAATACACTTTTCAATAGAGTAGTCGTGGAAATAGCGAAAAAGAAAGATCAGATGTTCAGAGTTACAAATCGGAATATTTATATTGGATAATATTTCTGTTAAGCGTTAATAATCATAGTCATCAACATCATCGTAGTCATCAAAAGCATCATAGTCATTGTATTCATCATAGTCATTGTATTCATCATATTCATTGTATTCATCATATTCATATATGTAGTTGGGGCAATTCGAGTCATTTTGTCTTAATGCGTCTTCCTTTTGATAGTTTGTCTTGACTAGAGCGAGCTCGAGTGTCCTTTTTTGCTTTAAATAAAACGTAAAGCATTCATTTTCCATTCCGACTGTAAGTTCAATATTGATCTCTTCAATGCGCTCTTCAATTTTTTCCTCTAGCTCTAACCGTCGTTTATTATACAACTTGAATGTTTCATAAGCGTTATATTTGTAGGCAAAATATTCCTTTTTCAGTCCTTTGGCATGAATTAAATATGACAATTCAAACTCATATTCACTATTTTTATCGTAGTATCCTTCTTTAGAGTCGATAAGCTTTTGTATTAATTCATTTATGTGCGTATCCAATTCTGAGAGAGGGTTCTGCAAATAAGAATTTCATGTTAAATAATGCACATATGACAGCAGCTATTTTTCAAACCTCTGTTGTAGTAGACGTAGAATGGGGAGTCGAAAAAGAAGTAGAAGTTGACAAAGTAGAAGAAATAGAAGTCGAAGTTGAAGTAGAGGAAAAAGAAGTAGGAGAAGTAGAAGGCCGAGGAGAAGAAGTAGAAGGCCGACGAGAAGAAGTAGAAGAAGACCTAGTTGTTTTTGGAGAAGTAGAAGAAGAACGAGTGACTTTTGGAGAAGTGGAAGAAGGTTTAGAAGAAGTAGAAGAAGAACTAGTGACTTTTGGAAAAGTTGAAGAAGGAGTAGAAGAAGAACTAGTGACTTTTGGAGAAGCTGAAGAAGGAGTAGAAGAAGAACTAGTGACTTTTGGAGAAGTGGAAGGAGTAGAAGAAGTAGAAGAAGGAGTAGAGGAAGAACTAGTGTCTTTTGGAGTAGTTGAAGAAGGAGAACTAGTGACTTTTGTTGAAGTTGAAGAAGGAGTAAAAGAAGTTGAAGAAGAACTAGTGACTTTTGGAGAAGTTGAAGGAGTAGAAGAAGGAATAGAGGAAGAACTAGTATCTTTTGTAGAAGAAGAAGAATTGGTGTCTTTTTGGGTAGTAGAGGAAGACTTATTGTCTTCTGGAACACTGGCTGCTTCCACAAACGTGGCCAATACCACAAAGATAATGATACCGTTCACGTTCATAATAATTGTAAACTAGAAACGTCTCAACTGAAAATGTTGCACCAAAGTAATGGGTTTTTATAGAATCGCACTTGTCGAGGTGTTGCCCAAGCCATAAAGCTAATTAAAAACGTTTTAAGTACTCAGGCTTTCGACAATGTAATTATTACTGTGCACGTTTGTGCAACTTAGCTCAAATAGATAATTTGCACACTACGCTCAGTTTTAGTTGGCTTTTGTAATAACACAAATCTATTTACTTTATGAAACACAACGAATATTTTCTACATTCAATTACGTGAACTTGTCGTCTGTTGGTAAGATTACGATTTTAATAAAATTTGTTGTAATATCGGAAACAGTTGTGTTTAAGTGAAAGTTAAAGTTTTATAATTATTATATTGTTTATATTTTAAGTGGAAGTATTTCTGATTGATATCAATTTACAGAATGGTGGCATACAGAAGGATAGTCGTGAAATTAAATAAAACAGACTGTCTTTGGGATAATTTGAAATATTTAAAAGATTGAAATTAAAAATTTTTGAAAGGTTATTAAAATTGTAAAATTTAAAATGTTAGTTGTGGAACTAATTTTTCTTTTTGGACATAGCTGATTGCGGTCTAAAAATGTTATTTTACTTTTGTTTAATTCATATAATCATAGTACTCATCATCATCATCATCATTATCATCGTCATCATCATCACATCCACCACCTTTGACAGGGTTAGATGGGCATTCCACGCTATTTTCTCGTAAGATATCTTCCTTCTTATAGTTTGTCTGCTTAAGAGCAGAGTTGAGCGCGATTTTTTGTTTTGAATAAAACTTATTGCATTCATTGCTTTGTGAACTAGAGTCGTCATTCAGCTTTTCTAGACGTTTGGTAATTTTGTCCTCCAGTTCTAATCGGCGGTCGTTATACGCCTTAAATGTATCATAAGCTAATTTCTTCTCTGGATATGATAGCTCCGGAAGTTCAATAGTTTTATTTAGTGCATCCACATTGTCCTCATACTCCTGATTGTTCTCGATGTTCCCTTCTTTTGAGGCGATAAGCTTGTTCATTTTATTAATTAATTCTTTATCCAAAGCCTTCAGAACCTCCTAAAAATATGACTTTAATATAATTTACCACACATATGACATTAGTTATTTTACGTCTGCCTTGGTTGCAGCCGGTTTTGGCTCTGACTGTTTTAAATTTGCTGGATTTGCTGGTTTTTTTTGATTTGCTGGATTTGGTGACTTTGGTGGATTTTCTGGATTTGCTGGATTTGCTGGTTTTGGTGGATTTGGTGGAATTGCTGGTTTTGCTGGTTTTGGTGGATTTGGTGGAATTGCTGGATTTGCTGGCATTGGTGGATTTGGTGGATTTGTTGGAAATTCGTAGTTTTTAGCCAGTTTTTCTTCGAAAATTATGACCAATAACAATAAAAGGAGGATCCACTTCCCGTTCATTATAACTTTACTTAAGACAACAAAATGCTGAACTGAACAATTTTCGACCGTGTTAAGGCTTTTATAGAATTGTTTTGTGAGGCATATGTCAAGGTATTTTGCAAACCAATAAGCCAAAACTAATTTAAAATGTCGAGAAAGTTAATTTAAAATAATCTAGTTATCGATAAACCAAAGATTTATATACACGTGTACATAGTTCCCTTAAATCAGAATTGAATATTACATATACCATAATCTTATCCAAATGAATGTAAATTGAAGTATATATATATATTCAGCTCAACTTTAAATTTAATAGCTATAGATATTGTCTAGTCTGGCCATAGTAGTTTTCCATTTAGTGCATTTGAAATCTCTGCATATTTATCTTCGTTCGCATGAATACTGTCAGTGCTGAGGCATATGCCGATGGCAGTCGATAGACGAGACAGAAAATGGCCAATTTGCCATTTGCGTAATATCTGTGCCCGTTGTAGCTCATACTTGGCCAGAAACTCCACTTCGACATACCAAAATGAAGTCATAAAATTTTTTAACAAAAACTAAAATAAAAAATATAAACGAAAACTGCAAAAAAAAACTTTCAGCCATAGCAAAAATAAACACACTTTATTATGGCAGAAAATGTTTATGGTTGGTTCCGGCGTACACCGATGGCAGCAGCAGCAGCAGAAACAACAACAAACTAAACTTATGCTCATGCTGGGCTTGTTGGTGCTGTGTCTGTCTGGCTGTTTGTGTAGGCGTTGAAAATTGAAATACAAACAAGAACATGACAGCATAAGAGTCGACAGTTTCAGTCCTTGCAAATGGCAATGGCAAATGGCAGGGCAACGCTCGAAATATTAACAATTTAAACGCAAACGTGTTAAAGCAGCGTCGAAGAACTACGCGAGTTAATTTACACGCAGCTCAAATATTTGTACGCCAAGAAAAGCAGCAGCAGCAGCAGCAGTTAAAAAGAATTAAGAAACGGGATAAGCTATTCGCGTAACGAAGATCTAATACTCTTACCGAGAAACTTCATAAACTCTTGGTGCTATTACTACAAATTAATGCAAAGATTAATAAAAATATAAATCTGAAAAAATACTATTTAATTTTCCCATAGATAAAAACTTTTATTTTTATGAACAAATATTCGAAGCTTTCAAAAGAATTTTCATTAATTAGCAAAAGTGCGAAGATAACTTGTTTAATTCAAAAGCTTGTTATTCAAACGATCGAGGTCTGGAATATAATATACGATCCCATGCAGAAATCATCCAAAATACATGTTTTCCAACTTGATATGAAAGTTTTTATACCCACGGCAAGGATAGCAAAATCAATTCCAATGTAACCTGCCTGCTAGCGGCTACGCAACTATTTTGCATGCAAAGTCACGTTTTATTGCAGCTACGGGTTGTTCTGGCTGCTGTTGTTGTAGTTGCTGTCGCTGGTTAACTTTTGAGCATACCTGCGGCGACGATGGCATTGGTCGCTTGGGGTCCTGCGCATTGTAAGTTGGGGCTGGGGTTGGGGTTGGGGTTGAGGTTGTAGGGGCAATTGCATGCCAAACTTAAGGGCCATAAAAATTATTACGAGCACATAACATGCGCTCGCTGATAAAAGATGAAGCGAATATCTCGTGTCAAATGGAATTTATGCACGTTTCGGCCGACGCACATTATGGAAATTCAATTGAATGCAAATTTAAATTGCCGGGCACTCAAACCCACACACATACAAACGCAAACGCACACAAAGGCATTGAAGCTATGTGTGGCGACACAAAGCAAGTGCTATGCATAGCAATTGCAGCCCAAAAGTATGCAGCACTCGATGCATATTGAGCAGAGAGGTTTGTCAAATGGATTTTCCATTATCTGCCCACCTGTTTAACGTGCTCGGCATGGCCAAGGCATTTGCGACAGTTTGATTTTTGTGCCGAACATCTGGGTAGACTTTGCGCACAAATTACTTAATTAAAGAGACAGCTACGCACAGTTGCCAGAATGGGTTGCTCAGCTTTTGGCTACTGGATGCCAGATTGTTTGGCCGTGCGCTGTCAAGCGATGAGCAAAGGGCAAACATGAGCGCCCATTGTTACATACTAACAAAACAAGAACAACAAACACAACGACCAACAACTATGACTACAACTCATGCCAAACTCAAGTGTAGAGCGGAGCTAAGCAAGTCAACAAGTTCAATGCGTTGCCCTTCGTGTCCAGTCGCCGGGGGGCGCCTGTTGCTGCTGCTGGCTCTCTGGACCTTGACTCGGTTTGGTGTTGTTTTTGTTATAGTTGCTGAACGGCCCCTGGACATGTTGATCTTAGACAGCGGCGTATAAGTTTGCTGCAGGGCTTTGTTTCCATCTGTTAAACACATCACTTCAAGTTTGTTAGAGTCGACTTGATCTGATAAAAACTTGATTTCATGTCATACATTTTGTTATTAACAAATAGCTTTTCTATATGACTTGGTGTTTCTGCTTAAGCTATATGCATGTCAGCTTTATCAGTGTATTTTCTATGCACAAAAGTATATTTACATACAGCGCTTATAAGGCCTCATGCCACAAATATATACCAGGGTATGTGCATGTGCGCCCCACACGAGGTCCTGAAGTTGCATTTAATTAACTATTTCTAATTAATCAACAATTGTATTTGCCCTTACCTTGTACGAGCCCAAATTCTTAACAGAGCAGGCCAATTTGACATTTCGTCCTGCCGGTACTGTTATATTATCAATGACGTCCGTGAACTCGGGATCCTCCTGGATGACTGCAATGACAAATAGAGCACAAGTTATAGCGACATTTGTAATTGAGACAGCGACTCAAAATTTCTTTATTTATATTTCCATGCAGACATGTCTATATATATATATACACGAAATATATTTTCGGTTATGGCTTATTTTCGTTTAAAGAGCTAGAAAGATTTATGGAAGCACTTAAAAATTAATAGACGCAAGCCCAGGCGATTAGCCCATTAATGCCTAAGTTTTCTAAAGTTTTGACAGCAGAAGAAGCAAACTGTCAATAAAATATGCATTAAGTATTGAGCATTGGTAGCTCGTAAAAGTTTTAAAACTGAGGCATTGCCCCGCCCATTCACACATATGCAGACAACCTGCACCCCAGGCTAACAGAACAATAAATCATAATTAAATTTCACGCCATGCGCCCTTTGAGCGCCAAGGCCATAAAACACGGAACTAATGTCCGGCGGATCGGCCCCTTCTTCCTGTCCCATCCGAGCAGGGTACGCTGCTGCAGTTTAGCCTACTGTGAAATTGCATTTCGTTGCATTGTTGTGCCAGTGACTCCTGTTCGTGTTGTTGTTTTTATTATTGCCAGTGTAAACGGTACTTGTTATGGCCTTTGCTTTGCCTGCGGCCCCTTTGGGGGCCCACAGCAGGCCCCAAACGCCCAAAACGGCTTGGCTTTTCTCCGTTCGCTGCATTAAAGGTGATAAATGTTGTGCAAACGTTTGGCAGTTTGGCAGCTTTGTAAGTGGGCTTGCTTGAGGCTGAATCAATGGTTTTATTCATGAAATTGCTTGCGTGAAGGTGTTTGCGCAAACAAGTCAAATGTGCGATTTGCTTGACTGAGCTTGAAGCATTCGCTTCATTCAGATACATATTTGAATATAAAAATTCTCAAAAGCAGGCCTTCCCTATAATATAAACAATATTAAGAAGCTAACCAAGACGATTTGTTTTTTTTTTTTTATACCCTTGCAGAGGGTATTATAATTTTGCCGTGAAATGTGTAACGCATAGAAGGAGACATCTCCGACCCCATAAAGTATATATATTGTTGATCAGCATTAACAGCCGTATCAATATAGCCATGTCCGTCTGTCCGTCTGTCTGTTTCTATGCGAACTAGTGTCTCTGTTTTAAAGTTATCTTAATGAAATTTTGCAGATGTCCCTCTTTCTGTTGCACGCAGCTCATATGTGAAAACCAGCTGGATCGGACCACTATATTATATATATGCCATAGGAACGATCGGTCGAAAATTAAGTTTATGTATGAAAAAACATTTTGTTTCATCCGATTTTCACGAAGTTTGGTGTTTAATTCATGGTTTTACCTCTAGAATAATTGGACATTAAAATCTCAACATCGAATTTTTAGTCGAAATTCATGTCCAAATCTTACCCCAAGATTCGAATATAGACATGGGTCAAAATTTACCACCCCCATAACTCGGTCAAATCTCATCCGATTTTCACGAAGTTTGTTTTTTTCTTCATGGTTTTACTTCTAGAATAATCGGACATTAAAATGTGAACATCGAATTTTTAGTCAAAATTCATGTCCAAATCTTAGCCCAAGATTCGAATATAGACATGGGTCAAATTTACCACCCCCATAACTCGGTCAAATCTCATCCGATTTTCACGAAGTTTGTTTTTTTCTTCATGGTTTTACTTCTAGAATAATCGGACATTAAAATGTGAACATCGAATTTTTAGTCAAAATTCATGTCCAAATCTTAGCCCAAGATTCGAATATAGACATGGGTCAAAATTTACCACCCCCACAACTCGGCCAAAACTCATCCGATTTTCACGAAGTTTGTTTTTTTCTTCATGGTTTTACTTCTAGAATAATCGGACATTAAAATCTGAACATCGAATTTTTAGTCGAAATTCATGTCCAAATCTTAACCTAAGATTCGAATATAGACATGGGTCAAATTTACCACCCCCATAACTCGGTCAAATCTCATCCGATTTTCACGAAGTTTGTCCTTTTCTTCATGGTTTTAATTCTAGAATAATGGGGCATCAAAATCTGAACACCGATTTTTTAGTCGAAATTCATGTCCAAATCTTACCCCAAGATTCGAATATAGACATGGGTGAAAATTTACCACCCCCATAACTCGGTCAAATCTCATCCGATTTTCACGAAGTTTGTGTTTTTCTTCATGGTTTTACTTCTAGAATAATCGGACATTAAAATCTCAACATCGAATTTTTAGTCGAAATTCATGTCCAAATCTTACCCCAAGATTCGAATATAGACATGGGTCAAAATTTACCACCCCCATAACTCGGTCAAATCTCATCCGATTTTCACGAAGTTTGTTTTTTTCTTCATGGTTTTACTTCTAGAATAATCGGACATTAAAATCTCAACATCGAATTTTTAGTCGAAATTCATGTCCAAATCTTACCCCAAGATTCGAATATAGACATGGGTCAAAATTTACCACCCCCATAACTCGGTCAAATCTCATCCGATTTTCACGAAGTTTGTTTTTTTCTTCATGGTTTTACTTCTAGAATAATCGGACATTAAAATCTCAACATCAAATTTTTTGTCGAAATTCATGTCCAAATCTTACCCCAAGATTCGAATATAGACATGGGTGAAAATTTACCACCCCCATAACTCGGTCAAATCTCATCCGATTTTCACGAAGTTTGTTTTTTTCTTCATGGTTTTACTTCTAGAATAATCGGACATTAAAATGTGAACATCGAATTTTTAGTCAAAATTCATGTCCAAATCTTAGCCCAAGATTCGAATATAGACATGGGTCAAAATTTACCACCCCCACAACTCGGCCAAAACTCATCCGATTTTCACGAAGTTTGTTTTTTTCTTCATGGTTTTACTTCTAGAATAATCGGACATTAAAATCTGAACACCGATTTTTTAGTCGAAATTCATGTCCAAATCTTACCCCAAGATTCGAATATAGACACGGGTCAAAATTTACCACCCCCATAACTCGGTCAAATCTCATCCGATTTTCACGAAGTTTGTTTTTTTCTTCATGGTTTTACTTCTAGAATAATCGGACATTAAAATCTCAACATCGAATTTTTAGTCGAAATTCATGTCCAAATCTTACCCCAAGATTCGAATATAGACATGGGTGAAAATTTACCACCCCCATAACTCGGTCAAATCTCATCCGATTTTCACGAAGTTTGTGTTTTTCTTCATGGTTTTACTTCTAGAATAATCGGACATTAAAATCTCAACATCGAATTTTTAGTCGAAATTCATGTCCAAATCTTACCCCAAGATTCGAATATAGACATGGGTCAAAATTTACCACCCCCATAACTCGGTCAAATCTCATCCGATTTTCACGGAGTTTGTTTTTTTCTTCATGGTTTTACTTCTAGAATAATCGGACATTAAAATCTCAACATCGAATTTTTAGTCGAAATTCATGTCCAAATCTTACCCCAAGATTCGAATATAGACATGGGTCAAAATTTACCACCCCCATAACTCGGTCAAATCTCATCCGATTTTCACGGAGTTTGTTTTTTTCTTCATGGTTTTACTTCTAGAATAATCGGACATTAAAATCTCAACATCGAATTTTTTGTCGAAATTCATGTCCAAATCTTACCCCAAGATTCGAATATAGACATGGGTCAAAATTTACCACCCCCATAACTCGGTCAAATCTCATCCGATTTTCACGAAGTTTGTGTTTTTCTTCATGGTTTTACTTCTAGAATAATCGGACATTAAAATCTCAACATCGAATTTTTAGTCGAAATTCATGTCCAAATCTCACCCCAAGATTCGAATATAGACATGGGTCAAAATTTACCACCCCTATAACTCGGTCAAATCTCATCCGATTTTCACGAAGTTTGTTTTTTTCTTCATGGTTTCACTTCTAGAATAATCGGACATTAAAATCTCAACATCGAATTTTTAGTCGAAATTCATATCCAAATCTTACCCCAAGATTCGAATATAGACATGGGTCAAAATTGACCACCCCCATAACTCGGTCAAATCTCATCCGATTTTCACGAAGTTTGTGTTTTTCTTCATGGTTTTACTTCTAGAATAAATGGACATCAAAATCTCAACACCGAATTTTTAGTCGAAATTCATGACCAAATCTTACCCCAAGATTCGAATATAGACATGGGTCAAAATTTACCAGCCCCATAACTCGGTCAAATCTCATCCGATTTTCACGAAGTTTGTCTTTTTCTTCATGGTTTTAATTCTAGAATAATGGGGCATCAAAATCTGAACACCGATTTTTCAGTCGAAATTCATGTCCAAATCTTACCCCAAGATTCGAATATAGACATGGGTCTAAATTTACCACCCCCATAACTCGGTCAAATCTCATCCGATTTTCACGAAGTTATCCCTTTTCTTCATGGTTTTAATTCTAGAATAATGGGGCATCAAAATCTGAACACCGATTTTTTAGTCGAAATTCATGTCCAAATCTTACCCCAAGATTCGAATATAGACATGGGTCAAAATTTACCACCCCCATAACTCGGTCAAATCTCATCCGATTTTCACGAAGTTTGTCTTTTTCTTCATGGTTTTACTTCTAGAATAATCGGACATTAAAATCTGAACACCGATTTTTTAGTCGAAATTCATGTCCAAATCTTACCCCAAGATTCGAATATAGACATGGGTCAAAATTTACCACCCCCATAACTCGGTCAAATCTCATCCGATTTTCACGAAGTTTGTGTTTTTCTTCATGGTTTTACTTCTAGAATAATCGGACAATCAAATCTGAACATCGAATTTTTAGTCGAAATTCATGTCCAAATCTTACCCCAAGATTCGAATATAGACATGGGTCAAAATTTACCACCCCCATAACTCGGTCAAATCTCATCCGATTTTCACGAAGTTTGTCTTTTTCTTCATGGTTTTAATTCTAGAATAATGGGGCATCAAAATCTGAACACCGATTTTTTAGTCGAAATTCATGTCCAAATCTTACCCCAAGATTCGAATATAGACATGG